TTCACCTTGCCCGGTTTTACATCATTTCTCTCATTGTGCCAGGTGTCCCTGTGTTGCTCTCAGTGTTGACCCCCCCCTGTTGATCATCGGACCTAACATCTATTTTAAACAAAAAAAGAAACCACCTCAAGTCACGCATCTATACACACTACCGCCCATACACAATCGATAACGCTCTAGTCGTAACCTGTAACTGTTAACTCTTAGTCGATAACACGGCCCATCGTCCATTGCCCCCGCCAGAGGTGTTGGTGGTGCACAAAACCCCCCACCCCCACCCAGATTCAAATCTTCAAACTTATTTTTGTTACGTATCTGTATATGTATTGTTATTTATTAATGTCCTTTTGCCATCACTAGCGAACGCGCATGATCATGTCCTGACTTGAGCTCCAGGACGTGTTCATGTGTGTACAAATCACACATTTCAGTTCCCTTAACCCTACACCCCCACAAAGAGTGTGCTCCTCTTAAGGAAAAGTACATAAATCTCCAAGAAACCGGTTCTCTTAGAATTGGTAAAAAAAAAAAAAAACAAATTTCCAAAAAAAAAAATATATATACAAATCTATTTGAGCATACCAAACAAAAAAATCCAATCCACCAATCCAACAATTTACAGGAAACTCGCCCAAGAAACTCTTCTCATGCCAACTCTGCGGTAAGCTCCTCTGCTCGAAAGCCTCGTTAAAGCGTCACATTGCCGACAAGCATGCCGTGCGCCAGGAGGAGTATCGCTGCGCCATCTGTGAGCGGGTCTACTGTTCTCGGAACTCCCTAATGACGCACATTTATACCTACCACAAGTCCCGGCCCGGTGAAATGGAAATGAAGGACATCAAGCTCTACAATCAGTTCAACTCGTCGATCTGAGACATGACACCCTTGCCGGGTCAGCAGCAACAGTCTCAGTCTCAAACTCAGCCTCAAACTCAGCCACAAAATCAAATGCAACCACAGCCACTAGCGAAGAAAGCCAATACCAACACGACCATGACAAGCACTAGCTACCACAGCCAGACCCAGACCCAGACCCAGACCCAGAACCAGACCAGTACCGATCAGTACCAGCTGCTCATCCAGCAGCGACAGATAATGACACTATACGACTACTATCTGGGTCACAGTCACAGTCACAGTCATGGCGGTGCCTCTTCGATTGCCACCACGAGCAACTAGGATAGACTAGAACGCGACTAGACCTAGCACTCAGCTCAAACTTAAAGCAATGCCATTATGTAGTGATATATATACACATCTACCTACCAATTCTATTATACAAGACGATCAAAGAGAGAGGGAATACGAAGAATACGAATACAAAATACGAACAATTATTAAGAGATACTAAAAGAAAAAAGACACTAGACCTTAAGATAGACCTAAGCCTAGGAGGTAAAGCTCCTCCTTTTAGATTATCCAGATCACACACACAACTGTACATCGATATCTTGACCTAACACGTAGTAGTAGTAGACTTGCTGACTTTTTCACAACTTACATGCCTATGGACCAGTATATATACAACTGTTTACACTCTGTGGCCTTCTTTTACCTTATACCTCATACAACGTACTCGGTAGTCAATTTTACAATATTTATATAGAGCTCTCTTTTTTCGTGGACGGGACGACGGACCTCGCACACAAGTTGCCTTCTCTAAAAAAAATAAATACCTACATAACATTTTCACACTAGACACTCTGGACAAAGCTTGAACAGATCATAAAGTGCTTTCTTCCTTAACGTTACACACACAGGAGTGTGCTTACAATATATAAAGATATATATATATATTTAAAATAGTAGTTGATAAAATGGATGAGATAGAAAAAGAACGAATTCAGATTGTGTTTATGAACACGGCGTGCGGCTCGGCTTACCATCAACAAGAAGATAAACAAGGATACGCATAGAGCAAGAGATAATGAGGCAAGAGGAATCCAAAAAGTATCGAAGAATAACGAGAACAAATGCTGGCGCCACACACATCCACAGTACCCCACAGTACAGTTGCCACAAACTCTCGCTCGCGACTCGGAGCCTGGTTCCACTTGCCCTCAACGTCGCTGCAACATCGACCTTAATTCGCTAGAAGCCACCACCCGCTACCCGCTACCCGCACCCGCTACTCGTTAGTCAGTCCAATATAGAAGATCGCGCGCTTGCTAAAGGTTAGCCCCAAACATCTTACAACTACATTGGTAGCCAAGTATCCGACCATGCGCAGATACGTAGTTAGTACATTACATGCTATCCTCCCACTCTCTACTCGCTAATCGCTCTATCCTCCCCTCTCTCTCTCTCTGTCTCTCTACTCGCTCTCCCGCTATCACTATCTCTCCAATTGAGCAAAGTGTCCTGAACTCGGCTCTCCTTCTATCTTTCTATCTCTCTGCTACTTGCCATACACTACACTAACGATACATTGGGCGTACTCGCTCGACCGTCACCACCTCAGCGCTATCGATATCTTCTGTAAAAATTGTTTCATCTGCTAAACAGTTGTGTTAGCAGGAAGTGGGTATAGCAGCCTTGGTCCTTGGCTAATAGAACCTACTACCAGCACTCTACTCGTATTTCCCTGCCGGTACTCGTATGTATATTGTAACCATATCTCTTGCCTGCTCACGCGAACTCCGAACTCGTCTCTACCCGCTCTTGCTCTTGCTCTCGCTCTCGTTCTCGCTCTCATTTTCCACTAGACTCGCCGTAGCTATAGCCTAAACTAACTCATGTACAAAGACCATCTGAGACCTGTAAGTACGACCCGCACACCACTTGCTACAGTAGTTGAACTCGCTCTTTCTCTGTTTCCTACTCGCTCTCTGTCACAAACGCCTAACAACAACAACAAATATAACCCAACTGCAATTCAACTCTTAGCCATTTAACACTAGAAGAGCGTAGAGGGAAGATCTTCCTCCCTCTCGCTTCTTCTCTCTATCTTTCCTTTTTCTTCTCCCGAATTAACCGTAGTGACCTCGCTCCTTCTTCTTCTTGATTGACTTGGTTAACTTTCAGCCATTCACTCACGAGAAGATCGAACCACCTGTAGAACTAACGATCAGATGCGGAGGTCCCACCACTAACACCCAATACCCTTCTTAGCTCCTCTGTTCATCTGATCTTCTTCGACCTCCTGCGACCTTCTACGTTGATTTGGCATCTCTCTTCTCGCTCTCTGCGTTTCCAGTACTCTCGTATTGTTGTCTCTTTCTGATCCTGTTCCTCTCTGTCTCTCTTACTCTCTGTCCCCATTACCTACTGTTCCCGCTCTGATGCAACTGTACAAATAAGCAAGAGTACTACCCACATATGTACAAAGATACTTATATCTATATAAATACTATATAATATGAATATATAAATAATAATGGATAACGAACGCTGCAACTCCTACAATAGATCTATACATAATATAGAAATCATAGAAATCTCAAATATATATATCACAAAATTTTCGTTTTTGGTAAGTTTTGCGTCGTCGTCGGGAATATAAATTGAATTCAGACTCGCCACGCTTCCTCCTTCACGCTCGATCGAGTCGGGGGTCCCCAAAACTACTAAACTAACTGCAATCCATAGTTAATCAATCATTTACTTAACGCTTTCGTTCGAAATAATCCAAAATTTACTAGAAAAAAAAAAAGAAAAGCAAAAAAATTAAAATTAAAGCGACGACCTTGCTCGCTCGCTACGACACATCTGAAATCCATATTCGAAATGCGATTAGCTTCTAATTTAGCCTAATGTTCATTGCTTTACTTTTGATTCTTTGCTCTCTCTCTCGCTTGGCTCTCTGCATGTCACTACGCCACACACACGCTTGCCACACTCTATGCCACTCGCCACTCGCTACTCGCTGCTTGCTTGCTTGCATGTGTGTACATTTGCTTGTTACCCCACAACCATATCCTTTACATCCACATTATCACTCACACCGCACTCCACACACTCATTGACATACGTACGTGTTGTGATTTGCATGTGTACTTTTGTTTGGTTTTGTAGTGTAACTCTTTCGTACCTGTATCTCGTACCTGTATATATGTACAAATCGGTTGTTGACTAGCCCGAAATTTCCCTTAAAAAAACACAAGTCTACGGAGTAGTCACCAGTGTACAAAAAGTACAGTTCCGACGTCGCCGAGACGGTACAAGCACAGGCATGCATGAACCAGGAGCTCAGCAGCCTCTCTCTCTTTAGTAGGACACAGCAGTTAGTAGCTTTAATAGTAGCGATCCTTCTCCGTCATTACTCCATACATAATATGCATATAAAAACATATATCTATATTAATAATAATATACAATAAAGAAGAAGTTTCCGTTTTCGTTCCGAGCTGTTTCCGCTTAGCGCGCGTACTGTACATTTATCAAGTAAAGAAGCTGGAAACAGGGCGGCACAAGTTGAAAACTGAATTTTGCATATATTTATTCTTAGCTTTTATACAAAATACATATATAAAAACTTATATACTCGAGTATTCCAACTATATAACGCTTTATCTCTACTATTTGCTAGCAACCAAACTTAAACTCAAATTCAAACTTAAACTTAAACTTAAATATAAATTTTAACTTGAACTTAAACTCAAACTTAAACTTGAACTCAACTTACAACTTAGGCAGTTTCTAGTCCTTTTTAATATATATATATAGAGCATTCAGCATTATCTATTATATCCTATTTTATTTTAAACATCTTCCTATCTATCCTCTGTCCCAACCCCGTATTCCTATCCTGGTCGCCTGGATGGGTTAGACCCTCCTTAGCCTAGCCTAGTATCTTCAGCCTAAAAACTTGCACTTTTATTTTCCATACTTTCTGAAAAACATCACCCACCCAAACACCACAACAACAACAACGGCAGCAATATAAATATAAATACTTATATATATATATAAAAATATATACCACTAAAGAGTTACCCCTGATAAACCAGCTTCCTTTAGATCTCCCTTACTAACACCTGTTTTTTCTTTCCTCGGCGCAGGACCTCACAGCATCAGCCGCTCGGCAGCCACCTCGCCCACCAGCTCCACCTCGTCACCACCATCGCCCTCGCCCACGACGGTGGCCCTAACCTCGCCCACCAGTTCGCTGAATGGCAGCCTGGCCGCCGCCGTCTACAGCCTGCACAGTCATGCCGGGCATCTACATGGGGGACATGGACATGTTCTGGGCTCACCGCCGCGTCCTGGCAGTGTGGGCAGCAGTGTGGGCAGCAACCTGTGCTCCTCCTCCACCTCCAACAACAACAGCAGTAGCAACCTCAGCAATAGTGGGAGCAACAACAGCAATGGCTCCTCCAATCCCACCTCCAATGGCAACAGCATCAACAACAATAATAATAATAATAATAACAGTAATAATAATAATAACAATAATGGTAGTAGTCCAGGCAGCCAGGCGGCAACGGCGACGCAATCGGGGACACCACAACTGCCGCTGCGCATGCCACCGCCCACCAGCGGCGGTATCAACGAGCCACAGGAATGTCCCTACTGCCGGCGTACCTTCTCCTGCTACTACTCGCTAAAGCGGCACTTCCAGGACAAGCACGAGCAGTCGGACACGCTGTATGTGTGCGAGTTCTGTCACCGGCGGTATCGCACCAAGAACTCGCTGACGACGCACAAGAGCCTGCAGCATCGCGGCTCCAGCGGCATGCTGAAGCGGTTGCTCAAGACATCGGCCATTAAGCATGGTCTGGTGGGACATGGCGGCGGTCATGGTGGTCATGGCGGCGGTGCACATCATCCGCATCCGCATGCGCATGCGCATCATCATCATGCGCTGGCGCATCAAAGGACCAGCCTGTTTGACTTCACCAGCGAGCTGGGACAGCCGCCGCCGGGCATCCAATAGGAGCTAAGTTGGAATGCCATCTTTTAATGGAGAATAGAAAGAGAGAGAGATAGAGAGAGAGCCCGCCTGGAGAGGATCAGAAGATCAGGTGATCAGGCTAAGACCAGCTACACACACTTTGCCCCAAGCAGCCGCAGCAGCAGCCGCAGCAGCAGCAGGAGCGGCAGCAGAGACCCTCTCGCTGGAGTCCAAATCCAGCAGGTCCTGCTGACCCAGAAATATCCTTAATTAAGCTTAGGCATACTTTGGCGTCAACTGTTTTATTATTCTTATTCTTTATCTTACGTAATCGTATAGATATATATGTTTTTTTTTTTTTTTTATATATCTTGTATCTTTTATGTGGTAATTTGTATCTTGTAATCCATTAGTTTATTCGTGCCGCTCCCCCTCTACTTAGTAGTTGGAAGCGCCCTTCGCTGCTTCATGTGCAATACCTCAAGGATCGTGTAAATACTTTCGATAAATCATAAAATACCTCTGGAGCTGCACGAGAGAGAAAGCAGGCCACTAAAACATATAAAACAAAATACACACAAACAGCGTGAAGTTGCGTTTAAGGTATATACTTATTAGATTTAAAGTTATGTTTAATCAAAAAAAAAAAACAAGCAAAAAACACAACAACAACAACAACAAAATGGGAAGAGAACGAAGGACTACACACGCACACTTGCAAACAGGAGCGAGAGCCGAGCGGATGGAGCAGTAATACGAAGCCCCCCAGTACATATCATCTGAATCTGAATCTGAAAGGTATACCCCTCCAAAAAATTCGAATCTGAACCTTCAGTCCGGTCAGCGCCCGCTCCTACGCTCTACGATTCCCAACTCGTTGGTTCTACTCGCTCAAAACAAACACACACACACACACAAACACAACAAGTCTCATAAAAAAGCAGACCTCCTTATATTATTTTCTAGTTTTACTTAACTTAAACTTATGTTATCTGCCAACCGTTGCCCGACAGCAGCGAGACCTAGAGTAAGACAGAGAGAGAAAGAGCGAGATGTGTGTATTTTTTTTTTTTTTTTTATGCATGTCAAAATAACATAAATTGTAAATGTAGGACTTTATATAAGACTAGAGTTAAGGTTAAAGCAAATCTAATGTTAAACATAAAGGAATTCGTTGCAAGACGACGAGTAACAAATAACGAGTAACAAAAGCAAACAAGCAACAAACAAACAAAAGTAAAACGTTATCAGGGATTAAATATCAAGTATGTAGTAGCAAAGTCTCCTCTTTTTCTACTTATACACTCACACATATACGACGAATAAAGTAACAGAAATTAAAAACAAATTTTTTATACAGATGCACATGCATATATCTGTATATAAATGCATATATATGTATGTGTACACAAAGAGAAACAATTATACTAAAGTCTATGTATACATGTATATACTTTACACCATTTACCTTTATATGTACCACTATATATATATATATATATATATATATATGCAGACACACACAGGCACACACAGAAGAGAAAGAACAAGAAGAGCTGTAGCAACAAACAATTTTTTGCAAAAACACAAAAAACAAAACAAAACCGTAAAGTAACTCAGTGATTTTTCACCAGCGAAGTACAAATGTTCTGAAATTAAATTTAATGACAAAAAATGAAAAGAAAAAACGAATCGTGAGAAAAATATCGTAAGCAAAGCAAATCAAATATCAGCGAGTAGAGCAGAGACAACACGCTTTAGAACGTTCAGTAACCAGCGAGTAGCGTGTTGACAATAACCAGCGAGAATCAGCAAACAGTAAACAGTTGCACTGCCTCAACACACACTCAGGAGCTAGAACTAGACGTAGAACTGCCACAGTCTGGGTCCCATCGGGAATGTGATGCTGCCAGTGCAAAACAAAATAGAGAATTTCAAGCCGATAAGTCGCCAAAGAAGTTAATGAATAAAAACAGTTAGTAGTGTGCGGAGGAAGGAGAGAGGAGAATGTGTATCAATTCAATGTCTCAGGAATTTCTTACAAAAATTAAACCAATTTAAACCTTATAATATAGCACACATACTTACATACAATACAATACATATATCTATATATAATATATACACTTGCAATGGGGCATATCATCATCTTCATCATCATCATAAACAACAGCAGTGCGAAAGTTTTCCGGAAAAAAAAACTAAAAAAAAACCTAGATATTTAGAATAGCAACAGTCGTAGGCGAGTAATTAGTATTCTTTGTGCCATGGAACCCACTCGCTGGCACGCATGGAAATGGGAAATGGAATGGTAATGGTATAGGGAATGGGAATCAGATGATATAGTAGTCAGGTTTCACGAGGTCCTCCCTAACCTACCTTATCAGCGTCATGCGTCAGCGTTCAGGCGAAGTTCCATCCAGGTTAAATATTGTATATGGCTATCAGGTTCTCCGGATTTAAGCGTTTTCGTAGTCTTAATTAATTTATTCAGAACCTTACAGATACACAGATACTGAAAGGGATTAGAAGTCGGCAGGTATCCATTATAAAATGGGAATTTTTATGGCGTGAAGCGAGTGGCGAGTAGCAAGAAGCGAAAACCGAGTGGCGAGTAGCGAATCGCAGGGATTTTCATGGCATCTGATTTTTTCTTCTTCCACTTACACACATATTCAAATTTTTTTTTAATCTAATGTAAGAATTTTAATTTAAAAATATTTTTTAATATTTTACTCGGACATGAAATTAAGTTTAACATTTTAGTGTTTAATTTTTACTAAAAGAAAAGAATTATACAATTATTATTATTATTATAATTATTAATCCTATTATTAATATTAATATTATAATTATTATTTTGAGAATTTGAATGAACGAATACGAGAAAACGAAAAATAATGCAAATGCTAACTGCAAACAACAACAAATCTGTGATCTTACAAATCTTTGACAAAGTGAAAACAAATTGCATTTTCATTGTGCGAAATTCCCTTTTGGCTGTTTTTTTATATATATAAACTATATATACTTTTTATATATTATGTTAAACCATACAAAATTTATGTTTAGATACTCGACGACGACGAAACTGTGAATGCGAAACCTTTGTATTATTTTTTGTGCACTTTTCTTTATACACACGACGTATACGTATTGTTTATGTATCCAATTAAACCTAAAAAACACACCTTTATTCAAAATTATATTGTTTTGGCCAATAAAAAACTACCATCTTTTAAAGCAAAAACCGAAAAGAAAACACGATACATTTTGGGAGTTTGATACATAATATACTTAAATTATTTAGTTTTTAAGTTTTTTAAAACCCTTTGTGTTTGTCGGGGAAAGAACTCAGGAAAGCCGAAACGATTGCTCAGGAAACTACCTTTATATCTATATATGTATATATATATATATAGTACTTGTAAGATGCCAAAGTCGATGCCGAGATGCCGATGCCCATTCCCCGAAGATGGAGAACCGAACCACTCCTACATGGCCAGAATAACCCGAAGCAGATATATATTTCAAGCCAATAATCAGAAAAGAGAGAGTTTTTAATCATATTAATGTAGTTGATAGCTCTAAAGTTCATTTAAAGAGATATTCTTAGACATAGAAAACGTATATGTATGACGCACTTTTCCTCACCAAACACCAAACACCAAGCCCAAGCCACAACCCCAGCCCCACACACACAACCAGAGCTCGTATAATAAGTCGGGTCTGCTTCCAAGGAATCTTAAGAGAGTCGCTCTCTCGTTTGCTATGGCTTGTACATTGCAGGCAAAGCATGAAAGATCGGTATTTTCGAGCTCTGCGTACAAAAAAGGAAATTAAGTAAAGGAAGTGAAGCCTCCTACCCAAAAAATATATCTTTTATCAGTTACCCAGAGTCTGTATCTTACACTCGCTCTCAAGCAAGCCAGGGGGAGATCAGTGAAAAGGTCAGATCAGTATCGGAATAAAGCTAAGAAATTAATGATGGACAAAATGCAACGCATATCACAAAATGAAGAAAAGGGTTAAAAGCAAAAAGGAAAATTAAATTAAATTACAAAATTCGAAAAAAAAAAATCACGAATCTTTAGATAATTGAAAATTATTAGTCAAAATTATTTATTATATTATATATATACACATACGATGCAAATACATACATATATATTGTATATGTGAATATATATAAACGAAGAAAAAAAACTAAACCAAAAACAAATACATTTCGGAACTATGCTGTTTATTAATTGAACTTTTCGGTATTTAAAACAAAAGAAAATCTGTGATTAACTACAAAATTTAAATTTTTAAAATTAATTGTATATTTATATTTAATTACAAACAAAAAACAAAACATGCACACCAGTGAAAAATCTAAAAAAAAAAAAAAAAAAAAAAACAATACAATGTATATGCGATGGCATTTCTCAGATACTTTTCACTCAGGAGGCAGACACACACAGATACACACACATCCTTCGCCAAAAAGAAAGCACAACTCATGCAGTATATACATCTGTATATTAGTTATACTTGAAAAGGACACCTGAATGAACATTTAAAATAATATTACTATTTTTTTTGTAGGATTTACTAGACATAATATATATATATATATATATAAATATATATATATACAAACATTATGTATATGTATATCTGTAATTTCGAACACTTTTAAAGTCCGAATTTATTAACAAAAAAAAAGCTAACGAAAGAGAAGTGAAGGCGTACGAATAATTATGTATCTCGTAAAGTCATGCAAATTACACGTTAGTAAATAAATTGCACAAGTAAGAAACAAGAAGAAAAACCATTTCATGCATACGAAGCATACAATGTATACAAACTAATTGTACATTTTTTTTTATTACTAAACAAAAACAAAAACTATTGAAAATCAAACACAACCGCCAACTCGGAAGTAACAGTTGCAACTTAGTCGATAGTCAATGTCGATAGACACACACACACACACGCAGGCGTCATCGTCCCACAACATTTATTTGCAACGCAGAAAAACACAAAAAAGAAAAGAAAACAAAAGAAAAAACAAGCTGTAAACAAAGCAAAGCAAACCCGAGAGTCAGGTGGAAGAGAGTATGTATAACAGCATAAAGGAATAAATTTGCAGGCTCAACCGTGCCGTACTGTGAGCGCACGGCCAGCAGCAAGAACAAGCATCAAACAAAAATATATATATAAATAATATAATTACATGTATACAAAGAGAACACTAATTATTAATAAAAATACAAAAAAAAAAAAAAAAAGGCTCTAGTGTTTTTACTTTATTTTTCTGGGTGAGGGGAGCTTAAAATACTCCGCGGCCGCTTTAAAAAATTCAAAAGTCGATTACTTCTAACGATTGTATTGCCACCTTGTATTATTGTACCATGGCAATAATACAGGGTGGCCTGAATGCCAGAAACAGTGAAACAAACAGCGCTTGAAATTTGCAATCCACATACATATGTGGATCATATGCGAGCAGTCCTCGGCACGGGTGCTTACATTTAAACTTCAAGGGCAAGGCAAGTATCAGAAACATAACAAGAAAAAATGGAGAATGAGATGAAAGAAGAGAAAAAGAAAATATGCAGAAGAGAACAAAAACGGATAGAGAGAAAAGTCCATCCAAGTCAATTGGACTAAATTAAAAATGAAATAAAACCGAACGCTACGCACTCCGGGCGTAGATTTCTCCTGCTTTCATATGAATTTCCACTTTCCAGTCAGTCTGGCAGCTCTATTATGGCAGCCCAAAACTATCGATAGTCGACTATCGCGGCTCAGGGCCCATCAATTACCGATAGTCTGGGGTGGAATCATTATTTTTTTTTTTTAGCTGTGGGCGTATATTTTGGATTACAAAAATCATTGTAAATAAAGACAAGTGGAGTGCGACAGAGCGCGAGAGCCATGGCCCAGGGTATGCCCAATCAGCCCAAGTTCCTGCCCCGCATCGAGCGGAGTGCCGGCAACTCGTATGTGGCCACCGCCTCCGGCAATCCCTTCGAGACGGACGAAGATGAGGAGATCTTCAGCAGGCACAAGATGGTTTTACGCGTGCCCAGCGACTGCACCGGCGATTTGCAGCATTTGACGGTGTCGCGGAACTGGCTGGTATGCATCCTGGGCACCGGAGAGCGGACAACGCTGCTGCGCTTCTTCCTGCCCCGTGCAATACCGCCGGGAGGTAAGTACGGCTCCCGGGTAATGTTTGCCCAGTAACAGTGGGTTTTTCTTGCCGCAGAGCTGGCTCTGGAGAAGTACTTGTCTGGATCGGGTTACAAGATAACCAAGATATTCCTGGATCCCACTGGGCACCATCTCATTGTGGCTCTGGTGCCGAGATCCGCCTCCGCTGGCGTCTCACCCGACTTCCTGTACATCCACTGCACCGAGTCACCGCAGGCCCAGCAGCTCAAGGTGCGCCGCATTGAAAAGTTCAAGGATCACGAGATCACAGCCGTCGCCTTTAATCCTTACCATGGCAGCGATTCGACCACCGGCTCCATATTGCTGGGCACCAGTCGTGGCTTGGTTTTTGAGACCGAGCTGAGTCCCGCCGCCGAGGGTCATGTCCAGCGTAAGCAACTGTACGACTTGGGTCTGGGCAGGCCCAAGTATCCCATAACTGGCTTGAAGCTGCTCCGGATACCCAACAGCAGCCGGTACATAGTGGTGGTGACCAGTCCCGAGTGCATTTACACATTCCAGGAGACACTGAAGCCGGAGGAGCGCTCACTGCAGCCGATATTTGCGGGCTATGTGAGTGGAGTGCAGGAGCCGCATTGCGAGGAGCGAAAGACCGACCTGACCTACTCGCAGCTCCGATTCTTTGCCCCGCCGAATAGCAAGTACCCTAAGCAGTGGGCGTGGCTGTGCGGCGAGGGAATACGCGTGGGAGAGGTGAGTCTTAGGTAATCTTTGTGTTATCCCGTGGTCTATATAGTCTTTTGATTCCAGCTCTCCATCGAGGCCAATAGCGCCTCTACTTTGCTGGGCAGCACCCTCATCCCATTGGACTTTGAGAAGGCCAAGCATCTCTCCTACGAGGAGCGTAGACTGAGCATACCCAAGGCCTTTGTGCTGACGGAGTACCATGCCGTGCTCCTCTATGCGGATCATATAAGAGCCATCTGCCTGCTCAACCAGGAGCAGGTGTATCAGGAATCCTTCGATGAGGCCCGCGTAGGTCGTCCTTTGAGCATCGAAAGGGATGAGCTTACGGGTTCCATATATGTGTACACTGTGAGGACGGTCTTTAATCTGAGAGTGACTCGCGAGGAGCGAGATGTGTGGAAGATTTACCTGGACAAGGGTCAGTACGAACTGGCCACTGCCCATGCAGCCGAGAATCCGGAGAATTTACAGCTGGTGTTGGCCCAGCGTGCAGATGCCGCCTTTGCCGAGGGTTCCTACCAGGTGGCAGCGGATTATTACGCAGAGACAACCAAGTCCTTTGAGGAGGTGTGCCTCAAGTTTATGGTTCTACCAGATAAAAGACCCATCATCGACTATGTAAAGAAACGACTGAGTCGGCTGACCACCAAGGCAACCCGCCTGGAGGCAGAGGAAACGGATGAAGGGGAGTCCGCCGAGGACCTTAGCAATGCCATCAAGGCCTTGGTGATCTGGCTAATCGATCTGTATCTCATCCAGATCAACATGCCCGACCAGAATGAGGAATGGCGGAGGGCGTGGCAGTCGGAGTACGACGAACTGATGCGCCAGCCCCAGGTTCTTGCCTGCACGCGTGCCAATCGCACGCATGTCCAGCAATTGATTGCCGAGCATGCTGATCCCCACAATCTGGCCCAGTTTGCCATTGCCATCGGTGACTATGACGAGGTGGTGGGACAGCAACTAAAAGCCGAACGCTACACCGAAGCCTTGCAGACTCTGTGCAAGCAACGAGAGCCGGAATTGTTTTACAAATATGCTCCCGAGCTGATGGCCAAGCTGCCCAAGGCCACCGTGGAGGCTTTGATGGCCCAGGGTTCGCGTCTGGAAGTGGAGAAGCTAGTGCCCACTTTGATTGTGCTGGAGACACGCGAGCAGCGGGAGCAGACCACTCGCTATCTGGAGTTTGCTGTCTACAAACTAAATACCACCAACGATGCCATTCATAACTTTCTACTGCATTTGTATGCCCAGCATGATCCCAAATCCCTGATGAAGTACCTGGAGATTCAGGGCAGGGATGAGACGCTGGTTCATTATGATATACACTATGCCCTGAAGGTGTGCACCGATTTGGATCGCAAGGAGGCCTGTGTGTTTTTGCAATGTCTGCTGGAGATGTGGATAATGGCGGTGGAGCTGGCCCTCAAGTTTGACATGAAGCTGGCCAAGGAGACGGCCTCCAGGCCCACGGATAGTGCTATGCGGCGGCAGCTTTGGCTGAGAATAGGTAAATTTATATTTGATGTTTGGAACAATCCTTCTCTTAAACCAAATCTTTGACAAATCTTTAGCCTACCACGACATCAAGGACACCAACGATGTGAAGAAGGCTTTGAATCTGCTCAAGGAGTGCGATCTTCTGCGCATTGAGGATCTGCTGCCCTTCTTCTCCGACTTTGAGAAGATTGACAACTTCAAGGAGGCCATATGCGATGCTCTAAGGGTAAGCAGCATTGGCTCTTGCCCTGCTCCTGCTCCTTCTTAAACCTTTTAACTTTTAACTCCAGGACTACAATCACCGCATCCAAGAAATTCAGCGTGAAATGGCCGAGACCCAGGAGCAGTCGGACCGTGTCTCCTCCGAACTCCAGCAGGTGCGCAATTACAGCATCAAAATGACCCCGCAGGACACGTGCTCTATCTGCGAAATGATGCTTCTGGTGAAACCCTTCTTTGCCTTTATGTGCGGCCACAAGTTCCATAGTGATTGCCTGGAAAAGCAGGTCTTGCCCATGCTCACCAAAGAGCGCAGTCGCCGGCTGAGCACTCTGAAGCAGCAGCTGGAAGCGGAGGTGCAGCAGACCAAGACGAACAGCAGTAGCAGCAGCCTGACCAAGCAGCAGGCCATGGAGCTGCAGCAAAAGCGAACGGCTTTGAAGACGGAAATCGAGGATATTTTGGCATCGGATTGTTTGTTTTGTGGCCTGTTGATTGATACTATCGATCAGCCCTTTGTGGATGACTGGGAGCAGGTGAACGTCGAGTGGGAGTAGCTACATGCCAGACACAGCGGCGACACTTGTGTACATATAGAGTATTTATTAATAAAACTACACTGATCACAACGGCACTAATTTCACAGTTTGCTGCTCCTCCTCCGGCTCCTCCAGCTTCTCCACCAGGTCAATCAACAATCTGCATGCGCAACTCATTGCTCACAAAAGACACCACCGTATTGAGCACCGCCTGCTGAATGGAGGCATTCTGGACAATCAGGGGCAGCAGCATCACTATATCGGTGGGATGAATCTCAGCCACGGCCTTGGACACATGCTCCACCAGTTGCTCCCGCTGCCTGTCCGTCAAATCGTTTAGTATAACCTCTCCCAGGGGTCTAAAAGTGCCTGAAAGACGGAATAATGATAAGATTGGTGAAATCTGGTGATTCCTGTGTGTAGCTTACCACTGGTCATCTTGTAGGCGGCTATACCACCAGCTGCACCGCCCACGGCCAGGCCAACGGGACCGAGGAGCATGCCACCCGCAAAGGAGCAGGCGGCACAGATGGCCGCCCCCTTGCCGGATTGCTTAACGGCGACGCGGACATTGCGCTCGTCGGCGACAATGGCTATCGCCTCCATCAGCTCCCGCGTATCGATGGGCATTCTATATCTCTCTCGGGCTACGTGGTGTTTAATTTCGTAATGTGCGCCTTTGCCTGGGTTAGACTTTGAGCGAAATGTGTCACCACGATGTGACGATGTCTGCTTGAGCAGCGTTTCTGGTTTTTGTGCGAAATGTTGAATGTTGAGAGCACAACAACGTAAACAATAGCGATTTTGGAGCAGAGAGCGGACCGAAAACATACGATTGAGTTGAAAAACAGCGGACTGTTCTCGAACGCGCCAGACTAGAGATGCGCCAAGTTCGATAGGACTATCGGTAGAGTTCAACGCATTTTTAAAAAATAAATAATCTGAAGTGAGGAATTATATAAATAAAAACAAAATTAAATTGCAAGTGCCTGCTTCGCTTATATACTTCAATTACAGATTTATACTGCACAAATATTTGTTTATAAAAAAATGTTCCCATTGGAAAAACAAGTCCCAGCTCGGCTTATCAAAGAGTAAGTGAGAAAGGTATAGCCTATAAGTGTGAGTCAAAAGACATTTGTCTTAATAAGCAAGCATGAACTTGTCAAAATATGCGGACCCAACGGACTACCTTGTGTTATTGTATCATGACTGCGACTGCCGCCTTGTATATCGATATATCGATAGCTTCCGAGTTGAACATTGCACTCATTTTAACAGTTCTCTGCTACGCGTTACAGCTCTCTTTTGTTTAATTTCATTTTTAACTTATTCAGCATAAACTTTGGCCTTTTGTTTGTGTACGGTTTTCATCAGCCACGATCTCCCCCTTCCCCCGCGCAGCATATTATTTATGGCAGACAAATACTATAAACATACATGTGCGCACATCTCTTAACTGGCAGCGCTCCTGGCAATGGACGTGTGATTCCTAGGGACAGGAATTCCTCAGCAGCCGCCTCTTTTGGGTTTTGTTGCCAAGGAGTCTAGCTACGCTTACCTGCTGACTGCAGATATTTGGAAGATATCTCAGCGTTATGTTTTTCCCTTGGAAACACGTAAGTCGAGTGCGCAGTGCAGTGGCAGAGCTCTATGCGTCGCCCCCACCTCCGATGCACAGGCACTGTTATCGGTGCTTTTAATCGCGAAAAAGATTGTAAATAACTTATGTTTTGTGGATATCTCGGTGAATCTATATAGTATATTTTGTGTTTCAATAAATAGCTATTGATTTCCCTGGTAAATAATTGGAAATAACGCAATGAAACCCATCCCGTTGCTCGCATTTACAGTTACCCCGTTAAGTTGCCCAATTTACCACCAACTGTGTGTATGGTTGCTCCTAACAATTAATCTTTTTATTGGCCTTTTATCACATTCGAATCGAAATTGTTAATTAATTGCCGAATTAGCGTAGCGGCGCTAAAATGTGGGCTGCAGGAGGAGGGTGGCTGTCATGAAGGGTTTGCTTGCTTACTTACCTTAATTGCCGGGTCCGGGCCAAGCCCTCGCCGTGTTGTTGGCTGCCTGTGGCGAAGGCGGCGGCTAATTCGCTTTGTCAACAGAAGGGCAAATATTTGCATACGTCCAATATATGGATGTATGGCAGGGGGCTTCTCGGTTTAACCGGGTACTTTTCCCCTGCCATTTACTAATAACCTCCTTTTCCCTCTTCTTGCAGTTGGCATCCTGGCTATCCCTGCTTCTGTTGCTGGTCGTGGCCCGCGCAGACGCGCAGCCAGAAAGGTCAAGAAACATTTCCTCCACCTCCAATGAGGAGCTCTTGCAGGGCTTGCCCACCGGGGAGGTGTCAAGCCAAGCCACTGACACCACCACGACCTCGTCAAGTTCCGTCTCGGCCTACAGCACACCTCAGTCAGAAGTGGTTACAGAAGCCAGCCCAGAAGTCATAGCCACAACTGGCACTACCACATCCACGTCCACCTCCACATCCACCACAACCACAACCACAACGACAACAAAAACAACAACAGCTTCTTTGGCAGAACCCACTTCCGAGCTGCCCGATTACCTGAGGCATTGCTTTTATGCCGAAGAGCAGCTATGTGAAGCACCAGCTCCTGGCAAGGATGAAGCATCCGATGCTGCCCAGACACTCACCTCGGAGGCAGAACCTAATGCCAATAGCTGTCAGTGCAAGGAGCATCCAAGCAAACCCAACTCCTGGTATTGCTGCAACATCTCGCAGGTGTCGATGATCTCCAGCTGCAGCAACATCTCCAAGTGGACCAATCTGCATGTACGCAACATGACCGTGAAGGATGTCGATCTATCCAATCCCATCTTCCGTTCGCTGCAGTCGCTGGCCGTGACGGATGGCAATATAACGCGACTGGTGAACGCCTTTCCGCGTCTCTCTGCTTTGAAGTGCTTGAATATATCGAACAACAACATCTCGGAGATCCACTCGCGGGCGGTCAAGGATGTGCCCCATCTAGAGTTCTTTGGCATGTCGAACAATAACTTGTCGCTGGTGCCGCATAGGAATCAGAACAAAAACATAACTTTGGATATAAGGTAAGGAGAAACGAAGACTGATAGAAAATCTGTAATAGAAAACCTCTAATTTCTTTACAGCGGCAACAGACGGATGCTGTGCAACCCTCTGAACGATATCATACACACTGAATCGATTAATTTTCTGAATCCCGGACACTCGTACTGCCAGTATAATGCCACCCGAACTTGGTTCCAGTCCACGGACAAGGTATCTGTGGAGCAGCTGGAGAACCGTAAGCGCTGCGTGACCAATTGCCCAGTGATACCCAGTCATGGGAACTGCAAGTGCACCTTGGAGAACATCATGATCATACAGGATAATCAATCGAAACCCCAGTGTCATGTTGATTGCTCTAATCTTGGCCTGGTGGAGCTACCACAGCGACTGCCGGACAACACCTTTGTCCTGAACATCACCAACAACAGGATAACCAGTTTGGGGGATTACTTTCACACGAATCCTACGTATCATAACATCAACCGGCTGGTGGCCGACAACAACCAGATAGTATCCATGAACGAGTTCGAAGGCACCAAGTTTATTGAAAGCTTCCAGCGAATCTACATGCGAAACAATTCGCTAAACAAGGTAAGAGGGAATTATTTTTATATTTTTTAAATAGAAAAAAATATATAGCGCTCATATAGTATATCGAAAGTATAGAAAAAATATTGAAATTTTAGATTTGACGTTCAGGTATCGATATTATCAGTTGGGGTTAGAGTTTTTTTATAAATTAAAGAAAAAACAAATCGATTAAAATCGAAAATCGATATTATTAAAATTATATATTTATATTTATTTGAGATTTGTAATAATAAAACAAATTAATAAATTTTTTGTAATAATAAATAAATCGATTTATTGTGAATAGATTTTTTCTTTAAAAAATAAGGCCAAATTCCAAAAATTTCAAATTCTTAAAAAAATACAAATTATAATTAAATATAATGCATTAAAAATGTTGAATTTTCGAGTAAATCGATTCGAAAAATTTTAATTGATAACAAAATTTAAAAAATCGATAAATCGATTATAGAATCGATTTTATTTCCAACTCTAGTTAGGATTGTATATTAAGAGCAAAAGTGCGTTATGATATATCGATATAATCAAAAAATATCAAACAATAATTGTATTTTGTATTTAAATTAATTTAAAAATTAAATTAAATAATTTGGCTAATTTCCAATTATACTTATATGTATAAAATCGATTTATCGACGCCCTTTGCTTTAAATATTGATTTATTATCGAGATAATAGATATTTATTGCAATCCCTAATCCCTGATTCCCAATCTCAACTTCCTTATTCCCCCAAAGATACCCGAATATTTCCTGAACAACGCCCTTATGGATTCCGGCCTGGGTAGACGCATTTACCTCGCCGGCAACAAGTTGCAGTGCGACTGCAACTCGGCCAAAAAGCTACTAAACTGGCTCAAGGAGCGCAGCTCCGATATACCCGACTACATGGACATACGGTGCCGGAATATACCCCAAAGTGTCATCGAGCTGCAGGAGGCCAAGCTGTGCCAATCGCCGCCGGACTGGACCGATTATATATACTATTTGATAGCCGCCGAAGTCTTCCTCTTGCTGGCCCTGATCGCCAAGGTCTCGTATGACTATTGGGTCTTTAAGACGGCCGGATATCTGCCCTGGCCGGCCAGCAAAATGCCCAAGTTGCCATGTGATTGGCTGTGCGAATCGTAATGCTGGATGAGGGGATAAGGATAAAAGGAGAAGAGACGACCGTGACACAATCACATGACACAGGACGTATTTACATACGTGAATCTATATATTATATATCCAAGAGGGGTGTGGACTTAAGTTCGCTAACATAAACGCGTAAAACGACATTATTTCGCTTTAGTTTATAATGTTTTTTAAGGATTAAAAGGAGTCTAAAAAAACGAAATAATCTCGATGGAGTTTATAAAGTTTTAAAAGGACTAAAAGTAACTAAAAGAAAAAAAGAAAATCTCGTTTAAACTGTGTTTTCGGCGAGTTTATGTCGGCGAACTTATGTCGCTCTACCCCTCTAGATACACATGTGCCTTTTTATATACGTACTCGTAAAAAACGATTTTGTTGTTTATAATCTTATAGTAATAGTCTTAAGGACTGTCTGCGCACAGAATATTCGTTGCTGGAAATATAAACTGACTAATTTTACGTAGATCAGATATACCCCTTGGAGAGAAAAGCCATGTTTAGAGTCCATTTTACGAATGATATTTATTGTTGTGGTTTTTGTTGTGATTTAAATAGAATAATTATTACTTATTAAGAAAAAAATACGCACTTGTAACGCTTTCTGATCGTTCCCGCATCCGCAAATACCGTTTTTCCGTTTTTTTTTAAGTGGGGGGTGTGTGTGTGTCTCGTGGTGTGTGAGTGTGCCTTATAAGGAATATAATTAGGTGTACGATGTACATTCAATGCCATTGACTTTGCCACTTTTTGTCACTTGTTTTTATACTTAAATATCTCTCTGCGTTCATTCGTTTCGTTCTCTCGGTATTTATTATCTTCGTAATCATATCATATCATCGTATGCATGGTATATATGTTCTCTTTAACTCTGTGTATTCGTTGCGTGATTTTTGTTTGCATCTAAATATATATATATATATGTTATACATAATAAATAATATTTAAAAAAAAAACAATGCCCTAACTTAGTAAATAACTTGTCTTTATGTCTTGAGCGGTTCAAGTGTTCTGTATACTCTCTGATCTAGCGATGTACATATATCGAGAGGAAAAGTCCAATATGATATGATCTCGATATAAATATCGCGCTCAATATCAAATCGAGAATATGGTAAATTTTGATATATTTATCGAAGTTTTTATATATCAAGAAATGTCGATTTTATCCAAAAATTAACGAACATTTGCATTTTTCTATTTTCTTGTTTTTCGATCGCTTTGGTCCGATATATCCAATCAAAATATCGACATATCGCATCGTTAAAACATGGGTTCATATATCGATTCTGTATCGATTCTGTATCGATATATGAATATTTTTGGCCATCCGTACTCCACTTCGTATAATCAGCATAATGCGGGACTGTGGGTGTATTTGAGCTATAAAATGATGAGTAGCAGATATAAATACTCAAAAAGTATTCCATTTGCCTTTATTTTCCTTAAGCTAAAACCCATTTAGTAGAGCTGGAATAAAATCGACTTTAGCTTCGATACTATCGATATATCGTGAAGCATTCTTTAGGTAAATTGGGTTACTTTTTTTTTGTTTTATAACCTTGTAGGGTATTATAGTTAGAAAATTAGGGAAGTCAAAAAGTCATTTTTGACCTTATAAATAATATATATTTTATATCAACATAATAGCCGAATCGTTTTAGAAAAAGATTTATAATTTTCAAAATTTTTGAAAAATTTGAATTTGTTTTAGAAGTTAAATAATACAAGTTTACTTCGTTCGAATCGATTTCGGTTCTAAAATACTAAAAGAAATAAATTTTTACCAGCTCTACCTCGTAGGTCTCTCAAAAAAGTTAACAATTATACTTTTAAATCGGACAAAGGTGCAACAAATTGGTGTGATTATGTGTGGCGAAAGTCAAATAAGCCTATATAATACTGAAATGTAATACTGCCTGGCCAAGCTGTGAAATGAATAAATCTATCTGTGTATCCTGTGCATGAGTGTGTGCTGCATATACCGTATATATATGTCCGTATATATAAATACTTATAGGCTAGAGGGATGGCGCTTGATGGCTGCATGAATTTCAATTAACTAGGAAAAACATTTCGGGATAAAAACAATATATGTATTTAGAGGAGAAGGACATCAGAGGGCCTGAGCCTGAGCCTTCGCCTTCGATGTTGACTTGTTCTAGTTTTAAATGCATTTGGCTAAAAGAGAGCGAAAACCACCCATTATATAGGCAGCATCTATATAAACAATAATAGTTAGTAGTCCAACGGTAGTCCGAAGCAGATCTTTCAAACACTCTCCGAAAGGAGCTCTAGGGAAGGAGGAGGAGCGTGAGTGAGTGTCTATGGCTGGCTTTTTTTTTTAAGTGGGATTTAAAAATTAGCTAGTCACATTTGTTGTTTTTTTTTTCTTTCTTTTTTTTCACTTTAGTTAACAAAAATAATGTTTAAAGAGTACAACAATATCTTATCGCTTTCATACCTCCAATCATAATGCTGGTGCTGCCTGCCTTCCTGTATCCTTGATGAGCTACACATATATGTATATGCATGTGTGTGTGTGTGTGTATATATATAGAACTATCAGTCTCACGTATATGGGGTATATATGGGTATTATATGGGAATATATATATGTATTGGGGATAACCAAGGCTAATTTAAAAAACTTGAAAACCTATGACATATCTTTAAGTTCATACGCAAGAGATCTGTACATAACAGTACGTGAGATCAAGGCCAATAAACTGTATAAGATGCGTAACACTCAAAGGATATTTTCTAGCTAGAAATGAAATTTTTACCTTTTCGAAAGCAAGTTTTATAGAATTTTTTGCTCTTTCTTTGAATTTTAAGAAAATATTCAAGTTTTATAGAATTTTTTGCTCTTTCTTTGAATTTTTAGAAAATTTTCAAGAGATTTCAGTTGGATTTTAATCGTCTGGCGCTATGCATCTTATTTAACTTATGGCCTTTGGTACGACTGGCTGTCTGTGTTGTGTTGTGTTGTGCTTAGCTATTCTTCGTAATTCTACTCGATTCTTCTCGTTTCTTCTCGTTTCCTTTTGGTTTTTCTTACGTTACTTCTGGGGTTTCTTTGCAATTCTTTGGTTTTCTTCTGTCTTAAAGTGTGTGTGTGTGTAGGGGTGCGCTTTGGCATTGACACATACATACATACACAGAACGATATACATATGTATATATTAGGGTTTAGTGCGGGGTATTTCTTTTTCTTTTCTTCTTCAAAGCTTCTTGTCTTGTCTTCAGCTCTATCTCTAACTGAGAGAGCCGATTCTTCAACTCTCTTTATATCTTTTTTCTTTTTCTCTCGCTTTGTCTCTGTGCAATGTTCATTGAAACAACAACAAAAAACACAACATGCAACAAGAGTACATCAATGTAAGCGAATACATACATATATATAAATACATTAATCTGGGATTTTTTGGGAACCATCGGGAGTGATCATTGAGAGGTGCTTGTATGTCCTACTTATGACCTTGCCCAGAGGGTGATTATGAATTACAAATACTGGGTTTTGGTTTTTTTTTCTTTTCTGTTTTTTGATTCTCGATTTCGATTGTGTGTAAAGTCATAGTCGATTTCTCGATGCTTTTTCTTGCTCATTTATGCTTTTTCTTCTATCATTTCTGTTTTTACTTCTTCCTTCATTTTTGCTTTTTCTTCCATCATTTCAGCTTTTTCTTGTATTATTTCTGATTTCCTTTTTCCATTTCTGCTTTTTCTTCTTCCATTCCTGCTTTTTCTTCCTTCATTCCTGCTTTTTCTTCCCTCATTTCTGCTTCTGCTGTTTTTGTTTGGATTTACTAGCAAACGGACCTTGTGTTTAGTTTAAAGATTCATTAGTATCTACAGATACAGTGGATGTTAAGGGGGTGTTTTTTTTGTGAATTCGTTTTTTTTTAAGCTTTTAGTTTTAGCTTAAATGTCAATTTTTGCCTCGTTCCACGCCAATTTCCAGTTGTGTTAAAGTATCTCCGTCTCGTACACTTGCTTGGTGGTCGTTGTTGTTGTCTGATTCGCAGCAGCAGCCCCCGCACCAGCCGCCCCTGCAGCACCACCACCACCACCACCGGCGCCACCTAACGCACTGCTCGTAGCATCACTGGCCAACACACCGCTACCACCATTGGTAGCTGCAGCAGCCGCAGCAGCCGCCGCCGCAGCAGCCGCGGCTGCGGCTCCACTAGCCTCGCAGGCTAAACTCAAAGCGGCTATCTTCTGTTGGATATTCGTCTCGCTGCCCAGCTTCCTAAGGGTATTACTTCCACCCATATCCTGTCCCTGTCCCTGCGATGGACAGGCCAAATCCACAGAGGGCAATTTGCTCATCTGCTGCAGTCTTTGGTATTGTTCTTGGAGCAGCTTTTGCTTTTTGAGCAGCTCCTGGTGACGCATCTCGAGGGCCACCTGACGCTGGACATGATCGTTGCCGGACTCATTGCCGCTGGAGTTGTCACCACTAGAGGTATCGCTGGCCAGGCTGGCCAGAAAAGAGTCACCGCTGTTATTATTTGGATTCGGATTGGGGTTTTGGTTCTGATTTTGTGTTGGATTCTGGCTTGGATTCTGATTCTGATTGGGGCTGGTTGGACTGGCCAGTGGACTGCGTGAGCTGGTGCGTGGCGGCGGAGGTGGCGGTATGCGCTTGTGTCCCACTTTGGTGATCAATTCAGCGTTTCGCTCGGGCACGGGTGGTTTGTTGGTGCTGCTGCTGCTGCTGTTGCCGGTACCACCACCACCACCATTGGTGATTACATTGGTGACCTGGGACAGCTCGCCATCCGATTCGCTGGGATAAGAGTGCAGGCGACGCAGGCTGCCCATATTGGTGTGAACCATTAACTGCGCCTGCGATGGCATGTTGCTGCTGCTGCTGCTACTGATGACCATGTTGCTGCTGCCACTAGTGCTGGTGCTAACGCTAGCCTGCTGCATGTTAACGCTCGCCTCTGTGTAGAGACGGGCCTGTGATATTTGCGTGGTGACGGTGCTTTGTACTGCTGCCTGGGCGCTCTCATCAGATGCCGAATCGGCTGCATCGGGTCGTATCTGTGGGCGAAGACTTGGTTCCATTCTAGTTTGGTTTGGGGGAGGCCCAACGACTCCCTCACTCACTCACCTCGTATTGTTGTTGTTGCTGCTGCTGCTGTTGCTGCTGTTGCTGCTGGGCAATGGGCTTGGAGAATGTCTTGAGCTCATCTAGCAGAGCATCGAGTGCGTTTTCGGGTGCGAGTCCCCCGCTGAGAGTGAACGACCCCATCCTGGGTGTTGGGATTGGCTACAAGAACACATAAGGCGGCAAAAGGTAGAACAAAAGGATTAAGGTAATGATTCTTACAAGATAAGTAATATATATATTAGTTTAATTAATTTATAATGGGACACAACACAGAGTTTGGTGGTACTACAGAGGTAGTAAACCATTAACATATACAAATATATATCAGATAATACATAGCTAAAAGCAAACAAATTAAATGCATCACCATGGTGTACTAGGAATCATAGAAGATCATGCAAGTGAGGGATTTAGCAAACACATAAAAAGCCCTAAATTCCGGCAGATTCTACATAAAGCTGGATTAGGCTGGTTGAAAAGCGAGATATATATATATTACAGATATATAGGTAAGCATAGGCAAGCATGTAATATGAAACGAACGAGTATGTAAGTCTAAGAACGAAGAGCTTTGAACGAATGCAGCAGCGTTTAAAACAGCGTTTTGGGTTAAAAATAAAAGACCATATAATAATAAGATGCGTAACGGCTCTGTTGAAATTTTGTTGAGAGAGTGAGAGAACGCTCTCTTAAAATTTAATTGAGAGAATGAGAAGAGCTCTCTTTTATTTTACTTGAAATTGTTATGCTCTTAAAATCATAAACATTGCTTAATTCTAATCATTTAAATACCTGCTCGTTACGCATCTTATTTCTACTATTTTCCTTGCTTAGAACGGTTATGTGAGTGTGCACTTTGAGAATAATGATGACGATTCCAATTTGTCTTGTACATGTCTCGCTCACTAAGCTAGCCTACAAGCTAGTCTTAACCGATCATAAAGTATCGTAGGTCTGGGGAGAATGTCTTGTGTTTACAGGTATTCCTTAAGCTCTTACTGCCTCTCTTAGTTCTAAGCTTCCGCTTCTATATATAGGCTAGATGGGTACTGAGTTCTCTCTGATTCTCATTCAGATTTTTATGATTATGATGATGAGTATGATTATATTATGATGCTTTTGATGGACTTGGGGGGTTTAAAGGCAATGTGATTGATGATGCTGATAGATTGTTGAAACTTCAAAGACAACAAACGATGAGTGAGAACAGTGACTGAACAGTGATGACTGTTTTTTTTTTTTTTTTTGGCAATACAATTGGCCATTCGACTTTGTCTGATTAAGATTAATTGTAAGGCACTAAGAGTGGTTTATGGTTATGGTTTTTGGATGTTTGGATGAGGGGCTTGGAAGGCTTAAGGCTGAAGGCTGATGGTGTGTACGTACATAAACAGGGCACAAAGGGGTACATATACATAAAATATGTATCTAATTTAAGGTATATTTTGTATAAACACGCACACACACACGCACTACAAAGCAAAAAAAATATATATGTATATATACATATATATAAATAATTAAAAGACAAAAAAAAAAAAAAAAAAAAAAAAAGAGTTCAATTAAATGTTAAACCGATTCTTCTGCTCTGAGAAAGAAAAACTTAATTAAGAGAGACTGGAGAGTTGTGTCTTTGATCTGCACCGTGGTAGTAAAATCTGTAAATTAATTAAATGTATCTGTGCCTTTGTATCTTTATCTGTATCCGTATCTGTATATGTATTTGTATTTGTATCTTTATATCAAGATCTTTATCTGAATCTTCCTGTTCCCGTTTTTAATTGTTTTTAACAAAACTGTGTGCAGACCAAGAACTCGCTTCCACTCGTGGTAATTGCTTGAAGCCTAAAAGTCCCAGTTTTAACGGGGTTAAGGACCCCCAACCCCCCGACAATCAAGAGGCAGGCAGGGATTAGGAGGAGGCGACAACATGTAGAACAAGGTACGAACACCAACAGAAGAAGACTTGCAAAGCAGAAGCGAACACACCGAAAACAAAAATTCAGAGTACGTATTGGGGGGTTTATGGGATAAAGGTGAGGTAAAACTGGGATAAAATCGATGTCAACATCGATTAAATCGATTTTTTCAATTTTGATCGATTCGCGTTTAAAACAATCGATGTACAAAAAAAATAAATAGGCTCGATTAATGGATTTTTGTCGATTTAATCGATGTTATTTTCTAAAAGATCGAAAAAAATCGATTTTTTCCTAGCTCCTAGGGTGAGGGTAATACTACTACGATCCAAAGTTGGGAATGAAATAAAAAAAAAAGACAGGGAATCGGACTTGGACTTGTGGATGTTCCCCCTAAACATTCACTCGATATTTTCAGTTAGATTCTTGATTCCAATGGTTGAGAGATAATTTATGGACTTGAAGAGATGCTAACCAGGTTCTGATGAGTATTATGCTCATCGGGTATATTGGGAATGTATGTAATACACACACACACACACACACACACACATACATATCTCAAAATCGAGCTTACTTGGCACATATAAATCTTAAATCTTAGGTTCTGGTTTTATGATTATGTCAAGAAAAACACACAGAGAAAATGTGGTATAACACCAAGATGAGGTTGGGAGTTTTTTTTTTTTGCGTGTGAGTTGAGTGAGAGATCATAGGTGGTTTTTTTGGGCCACGAAAATAAATGGAAAGAATATTTATGGTCTTTACAAAATTTGTACATTTGTCATACTCAGTTTTTTTTTTTAAATTTAGAATTAGAATTTAGATTTTAGTATTAGAGTTAACATTTTGGTTTGTTTTGTGGGTGGGGGGAAAATGATGAAATGTATAAAAAGTTGGCCTCATAAAGCAAATATTTTGTGTTGTCCATCGATTCCTACCTGGTTTTTTTGACACGACCAAACTCTGGAAAAGAGATACTCGGGCACACACAGGAAAGAAGTAGGATCCATTTGACGCGGACGGGTGATCACTGGCAAACTGATGCTAACGAGTGGTAGAGGAACTGGAACTGGACAGGGAATAGGGATATTTTGGAAGTTTTTTTTGTTGGATGGTTCTAGGGGGGAAATTTGCTTGAGTGGTAGGCACACACACACAGTCATTCAACTTTTGGGGGGGATGGGGGGACTTTATTGATACATATATGTACATACGAGAACATGGATATGTAGCTTGTAGGTTATTGGTGGGGGTTTTTTGAGGTTTCTTTTTTTTTTTTTTTTTTGGGCTATTTTTGGGAGTACTCTTCTGGTGGCTTTTGATGAAATTCGATATGGGTTTTTGAGTTTAGTACGAGTATTAGTTTAGTTAGAAGTTGATAGCAGTAGTAAATAGTATACAAAAATATAAACTAGTATGTTTAATGCAGAGCAAATTATGTTTTAGCAAAAGGAAAATCAACTTGGTTTTTTTTTAATGATTTTGCATCTTCATTTTTCAAAAACGTTTTTGGTTTATAATTTTTTTCTTTCTTTTTTTTTTTTTTTGCTTTTTGGTTTAGTTTTTTTTTTTGTTGTATTTTTTGTTATATTTGGATTTTCAGTCATTACTCAGTAATTGCCTCTTTGAAGTTTGAACTCCATCGCCAGTTAAACTATGTGGGTTGTAGTTGTTGTAGTTGTTGTGGTAAACGGTTAAAACGGTTAAACGGTAAACGATATTCAAAAATGTTTGAGAAAAGGCAAGAAGAGAAAACGAAGGTAAACCTCATTTTAAAAGACGTTCAAGCTGATATTAAATTAACTTTTTTTTGTTGTTGTAGTGTTTTTTGAATTCTTTTTTTTTATCTTTTGTATTCTTTAAGGGGTGAGGGGATTTTAGGGGGTATTCAGCATGTAAATGATTAAGCATTATTATGTTTTATTTATGTGTAATTGTAACAGAGTTGAAATATCTAGTAATTAGGACCCAACAAGGCAGAAGCTCAAACAGTTTGGCTTGAAGGAGCATGGTCTTGGGGGGGGGGTCTAGAGGTTCTTGAGGTAGCTAGGGGGGGGGTTGGTTGGATTGTTAAAGCTTCGCGGTGCTTAGCGGTGCTATGCAGGGAGGGGCGCTACCTCAACTTGTGCCGACTTATCGACTCGCTTCTCGCTATTTGCTACTCGTTACTCGCTGGGTTTTTCTTTTTGTTTTCTTTTTTTTTTTTTGGTGGTGAAATGAACGATGAACTAAAACACTATTTATGTAACAACAGCCAATTTGCAACTTATTCATAAGATAAACGCACAAAATATACAACTCAAAGGCTACAAACGTATAAATGTTTTAAGGTAAATCAAGGTCATATTTCCAGTTGATTCAACTAAGTGGGGTGTGGGTGTGGGTTTAGGTTAAGACTCTTTCTTTTAACATATGTACATACACATCATCGCTCTCGGACGGACTAAAAGCAGGGACTAAGACTAACTGACAGACGCATAAGCGCCACAGGACTAGCTATAAGCCAAAGGACTCTGTCCAGAGATCAGAGAAAGGCTTGCCGTATATATTATTTCCTCTTGAAAAGACAAGCAAAGCATCTAAAGTCTCTGCGATAGTTATAGAAATGGGAGCCATACTTTTATACATATGCATTTATAGACATGACACGTACGTTCTGTAGCTGTATTATATATATGTATACAAGTATATATGGAAATGGATATGGAAATATGGAGGTTGAGATGGAGCTGAAGCTGGAGCGCTCTCTCTCTCTTTCTCTCTATGACTTGGTTTAGGATTTTGAATTTGAACTAGCTTTTAGTGTAAACTGTACGCAGCACGGATCACATGTTCTTCTTCATTTGTACCTCCAAAGACGGCATGCAATTGGCTTGGCACTTACCTTGTCTTGCGCCGAGATGTCCGCAGAACGTGGCGGCTCCTCGCTAATGGTTGGCTCATTGGGCGGTAGCCTTTGCTCCTGGACGCTGGCCAGTCTGTGAGAGAGAGAGGATAAGGAGGAAATAAGGACACGCTTAGGTCTAGCCACAGAAAACCCACCGTTTTAGCGTGACCAGGGTCCCAGTCAGCTTCTTGCAACGTCGCAGCGCCGATTCCAAGCGATCGGGCTCTTCTTTGAGGAACTTTTCTTCACGCACCACCTTCTCCATCTCGTCGGAGAGTATACACCTCAGACCGTTCGACAAGGCTGGGAACTTGAGCTTTAACTCGGCAACGGTTTTGCTAACAAGCCAAAAAGGTTACCAGTTAGTCCTTGGTTAAGTGATATGCCTTCTTTTTCTCTTACCTGGCCCTACTCAGCACCAAAGCCATATCCTCCACGGCCGTCATGTTGACCCGTGTGCGACGATTGATCACTTCACCGCGCAGATTTTCTACCGATGCCTCGAGATCACTGAGATCCTTTTCCAGCCGTATGACTTCCTGTTTGTACAGCTCCTCTTCTCGCGATATCCTTGTGGTGTCCTGATCGCTCTGATGACTCCAAAAGCTGCCACTGCTGGCCAAGAGCGTGGCCCGGATACGCATAAATGTGCCCTTGATATCCTCTCGCACGGCAACGGCCTGGGCCTGGGAGAGGCGTCGCAGAGTTCGCACTTCCATACGCAAATCCTTGGCTTTTTTTTGCAGACCACGCAGATGATTGTAGACTTCGGGGGCTAGCGCTATGTCAGCCCGATAATTGGGATGAGCGGTCTGGGCCAGCACGATCGGTTTCGGGGGTGGTGGGGGCTTGAGGCGGTCGCGCTCTTCGGAAGGAGGAAGAGAAACCAAGTAGCGGTGGGAGCAGGTTCATGAGGAAGTGATGAGTAAGTGGTGAATGAGTGGTGATTAAGTGGTGAGTGAATGATGAGTAAGTAAAGAGTGAGTAATGAGTGATTGGTGAATGAGTATGTGACCTTGTGCTTGACTGGAGGCATGCCTGGTGAGTCGTGGTTAGGCCATTCTTACCTTGGGACGAGGTGCGTGGCAGGGTAGACGACTTGATTGCCGGCTTGGTAGGCTTCGTGTCAGCTGTCGGAGCAGAGTCCATTACAATTTAGGTAAGAAGATCGGCATAAAAGGGTATTCGGTTTGATTTGTAAGTTTTTCAAACCCAATCTATTTCTATTAAGGGCTTTGAGTATTCACCAGCTTTGGTCTTGGGTTTAAATATCACTTAGAAAACTCTTTCTCGTTACTTTCGAAATTAAGAGCTAACAAAGCTCTTAAAGAGTAGCTAAAAAGTAAGTCTTTCTTTCGTTCTTCAAAGTTTGTACTTTGCAGGCAAAGCAAGAAAGATGTGCTGTGAAAGAGAGCCCTAAAGTGCTAATCTTAGATATGAAATTTCCCCTATATTATTTATATATTTATACCCTTGCAGGGTATTATAATTTCAGTCAGAAGTTTGCAACGCAGTGAAGGAGACGTTTCCGACCCTATAAAGTATATATATTCTTGATCAGCATCAACAGCCGAGTCGATCTAGCCATGTCCGTGTGTCCGTCCGTCTGTCCGTCTGTCCGTTTCTACGCAAACTAGTCCCTCAGTTTTAAAGCTATCTGAATGAAACTTTGTATATAGTCTTCTATATACTCTCACTGCTATATATGTCGGAACGGGCCGGATCGGACGACTATATCATATAGCTGCCATACAAATGTTCGATAAATTTTTAGAAAAAAAATTATAACTTGGCTGTTTTTCAAAATTATTCCATCATTTTTAAGATATGGTCATTTTATATTATTCCAGAATTTTGGTAAAAATTTTATGAAAATCGGACTACTATATCTTATAGCTGCCATAGGATCGATCGGGAAATTAATCGAAAAAAAATATAACTTCGTTGTTTTTCATCGTATTTGAATCTAATTTGAGATATAAGCTTCTGGTATTATTTCAGAATTTTGGTATAAATTTTATGAAAATCGGACGACTATATCTTATAGCTGTCATAGGAACGATAGGGAAAGTAATAGAAAAAATTATAACTTCGTTGTTTTTCAACGTATTTTCATCTACTTTGAGACATGAGCTTTAAGTATTATTTCAAAATTTTGGTATAAATTTTATGAAAATCGGACGACTATATCTTATAGCTGCCATAGAAGCGATCCGTAGATGTAGAGAAAATGTAAAGCTGGGAATGTATAACTGTAACTGTCAAACTGTAAACATAATAAGTATAGGTAAAATGTTATGAAACTCTGTTAAGTGTCTGTTTTCGGCATTATAATTTATAATATAAATATGAAAACCAATCTGCAAGGGTATACAAACTTCGGCGTGCCGAAGTTAGCTTCCTTTCTTGTTTTTAAATAGTATTAAATGATAGCTATAAAATTCCGTTCTATTATTTGTATATAATTTTTTAAAATAATTTTAAAGACCTCACAGCTAGTAAACACCCAAAGCTAGTTAGTGAATAATAGAAATTACCGGCATGTAGAGGGCTATGCGACTTGGGTATTCCCTGTATGTCATCGCTAAACGATACAGACTTCTCAAAGGACACGGATTTTTCTGCAAGATCAAGGGTTCAAGGTATGCGAACAATGTCTTTATTGATTTCTAAGTCTCTTCTAAGGGGTCACACTTACGGCACGAGTTCTTGCCCAACTTGGGAGCTTTCTCCCTTATGTACAGCTCGTCTCCCGAGCCGTTGGCTGGAGAAGAGAGAGGAAAAAAAGAACAGAGCAAAGACAAGACATTGTAGCAAAGATGGGCTAGGATTTCACGTGAAAGCAGTGCTTGGCGTTGCTTTTTATTTTGTTCCAAAAGCTAAGCATGATGTGGGTGCCGGTTTACAACATTTACACATTGGACATCACATGGACATCACATGAATCTATCCATAGTTTTCCCCTTACCTTGCATCTGGGTTGGCACAACGAGATAGTTGGAATCCAAGGTGGGCACTGCCAGTGGCCCAATCTGTGGATTCTGATTTACCAAAGCCTTTTGCACCAATCCCGTCAAATTGGCCAACTGTCGTTCCATGTGCTCCACGCGTATGCGATGCAAGTCTTCGGGCCTAAAAGTAAAATATAAAAAATATATATATAAATAAATATTAACCCAAAAGTGAGTTGAGGCACTTATTACATTATTCACAATTTCAAAAATAATAAATGTGGCACTAGAGGGTTAAAAATATAACCTGCTGAGGAAGCTTGGTTTGTCACCACCGTGTTTACTGGGCCACACATCCGTCGGCTTTAGGTGCTCCAATTGCCCAGTCAAGCCTGGGCTTACAGCTAAGACACCGGAATTGCTGCAGCAGCTCTTGGAGCGTAAACCATAACGGAAACTGGCAAGAATGCGGTTGGCTAGCACCACCACCTCCTCCTCCTCCTCATCCACCTTTTCCTACGCTTGGAGCTGCACAAAGCTAGAGCAGTCTTGGCGAGCACGCAATGGCCCCCCAGTCGTCAAGTTGGATCGAAGCAAGAACCACTGAGCACTGAGAGCAAGCCATGACTACTTGTAGTGGTATGTAGCATTCCAAATCGATCGATGGATTGGGCAATCCAAAATCCAAGTGGTAAACTCATGACGAATCTATAAAAAATAAAAAAAAACCTCCAAACAGTGATTGGCACGCCGGCACGCTTTGCCCGATGTCTGGCCAACTTTCAGGTGGATGAGCTGTTGCTGCTCAAGAGGTCGGTGCAGCGAATGGTGGAGGAGGATGAAGAGGACTTTTACCAGGAGGAAGAAGAACCAGAAGAAGCCACCAAGAAGTGTCCAGAAGCAGAATCCCGATCGGGATCGGTTTCGGAACTGCCAGAGCGTATGGCCTTGATGGCTGATCGGTAAAATTTTGGTTCTTATAACCAGTTCCAATCTTTAGTTACTGATCCTTACTAATCCCTGCCAGCGGTGGTGATCATGACAGCGGAACTGGCCCTGGTCCCTGGCATTCGCATCATTCCCATGCTCCTGCACCGGCTCCCTCCTGGACCGAGCAGAAGCCCACTAAGCTACAGACCCTCTTCCAGATAAGCATCACCGCCCTGGCCTTTCTCTCCTTCGGCGGCTACCTGTTGTGCCTCATTGTGCAGGCTATCAAGAGCAAGGGCACCACCTACTTTCATCCTGTGGCAACGGCCTCCACTTCCTCCACAAATGGCAATGTGAAGCGCATTAAGATCTATAGACGCAGCAAGCGAAGTTCCAGGGTTGAAGGAAACCATCTAGTCCTGCTGCAGCAGGACTATGCCACCTACATGAGGGCCATGCGGGGGAGAATGCTCACCTAGTGGGATCGTAGATCTGGTTGCCGCGATGCGCTAGACGATTGGGACCGCCGCCCACCTTGATGCCGTACAGGGCGTACTGATCCTCCGTCAGGGTTCCATCGCTAAGAAATTTATATATACATATATATATATTTTTTTATATTTTTAAATTATTTTTTAAAATATTTAAAAAAAATATTTTCTTTATATTCTATCCTCACCTCTGCTCTTCGTCAATAATGGGCGCCACCACTGGGCCCCTTGTTCCATACTGACTATAGTAGGGCTCCTCGTAGTTGCCGCGGCTGCTGCGCTCTGGGGAACTGGTGTAGCCGTCTGCAAAGGTAGCCACATTCTGGGTTAGTAAGCACTTTGACCTTGGGTCTTTCCTTAAAAACGCAGCTTGGAGTTTTTAATTTGGAATTTAATTGAGGTAATAAAAGGAAAAGCAAAAGAACAAGATTCGATATCGATTCGGTATGGGGGATGCATATGATTGAAACGCATTGAGATATAGTTAGAGATACAGATATAGATAAGTAGATATATGTAGATATAAATATATATACGATATATGTCAAATAATGAATCTATTTTTCTGAACTAATCCTAAGAATCTTAACTTTAAATCTTTAAAGTAAAACGAACTCTATATATATATATTTTTTTTATATTTTATAATTTAATTCCTTATAAAATGTTGAAAAAATTTTGCAATATTTTTTTTTTATCATTTTTGGGAAACATTAAATTTTAAAAAATCTATAACTTAGCCAAAAATGCATTAAATTTAATTCTGAAAATGAATACATGGCTAGAAAACCTCGCCTGTTGATGCTGATCAAGAATATATATGATTTATGGGGTCGGAAATGAGTTATTCACTTTATTTCAAGCTGCTGAGTGAAATTAGAATGCCCTAAAAGGGTTTAAAAACCAATAAATTTTCCTTACTTTATATTTTTTTTATTTTTTAATGCCACATATAACGTAACATTAATTTGAATTGATTTATATATACATATATTCATAATAATATACAATTTATATACAGTGTCCGATATAAATATACTTTCTGCCAAGCCTAACTAAGACCATATTAAGTCAAGTTGAGTTCATAAACCTGACTCTCTTATTCTAGCAAATGTCTCCGACATATACATGCATATATATATATATATATATACATATTTTGCTATATATATATAGTATAATTTCCAGCAAGAAGCAAGACAAGCCAATGGAATGATTATGGAATGTAGAATTGTTAGTGTTTGTTTTGTGGAGAATGTGGGCGACTCTGTTTTCCCTCGTGTCGTACACAATCTCTCAGCTACAATTGGATATAGAAAGGCATAAACACATAGATTCTTGGGTACCTGGAATGCTGTATAATTGATCCGGGGTGTAGGGGAACAGGGGTTCCATGCTACCCCCCCTTGGATTGAGTGATCTGAGTGGTTTCACAGGCGCTCCTTTGTTGTTGTTGTGAGTGTTAATTATTTTATTTTATTTTTTTTTTTATTTTGGGGTTAATGAATATGGACATGAATCATATTTAGACAAAGAACTAAATTTGAAAGAGAGATAGATAGATATATAGAGAGAGAGAGAGTGGGTGGGTGGGGAGCAAGGATCAGCTGGGGTCATGGGGTCAACTCAAAAAGGAGGTGGAAAATGTATACCAAAGATAAGGTTGCAGGGATCTTGGACTACGTTACGCACCCATCGACACCTTGTTGCGTTCCGAGGAGTACATGCCGCGGGGCAGGGTCTGCGATGAGCCCACGTAGTAGGGCGCCGGCTGCTTGCCAATCTGAAAGATACAAAGATGGTATAACGGAGGGTTAGTTGGGGGTTTTTATTTTTGTGAGGTACAGGCAGATGGAAGAGTCAGGTACAAACACAAGGGGCAAGGGCACGGCTATGTACTGCTTATTATTATTTTTTTTATTTATTTTTTGCTTAACTTTGCCAATTGGCCTTCGTTCAAGTAGCGAAATGTTAGCTATGGTTTCGCCTCTCTTTAATGTCCGATGGTTTTGTGGCCTATCCCAAAAAGATTGCGCACCGAAACACGTACGGCACTTGAGTGTACACGGAGAAAAATAATTACAAATTATATGACTAATTAACTAAAAATAAAATTAATAAAAAGGAGATCAAATAAGAAGATTTTATAAAGTAATATTGTGAATAGAATATTAATGATACTTTTAAAATATAAATATAGATACTAGAGCTGAAAATAAAATCGATTCAATAATCGATTAATCGATTTTTTTTCAATAATGCAATAAATTAAAATTTTTAGAATCGATTTAATAGAAAAATAATCAATATAATTATATTTTATAATTTTTACGATGAACAAATGTTTGTTAGTTAATTATTTATATAAAAATATCGATAGATAAAAATTACAAATCTATGATCAACAGAAATATATATTTTCAGTTATTTCCATGTTCGATTTTAATCGATTTTTTTTTTAAATTTTTAATTTAAAAAAAAATTGATTTACTACAAATCGATTTATTTACAGCTATATCTTAAATATATAAAAGCTGGAAATGAATTTTTTTTTAATATATTAAAGCTGGAATTTAACATATTAAAGCTGGAAATAAATCGTTTTGCAATGAATCGATTTTTTCTAAAAAAAAATCGAGAGATAAATCGACTAAAATCGAAAATTGAAATAACTGTAAATATATATTTATATTCATCTTCTTTAGCTTCCTTTCTTTCCGTGTAATAACTCGAGCTCCGACTCGTGGAAGTCCGAGTTGAGTGCCAGGGCCGTCGACACATCGTTGCTTCAGATGAATACCCGTTAATTGCCATTTGACCCACCCAATGCGATCGATCAAAGCGATCCAATCACTTGCCAAAATTGGCCAAAAAATAAAAACAAAACCCCAAAGCAATTGCGATGCCAACGAAAGCCCTTTCCCTTTCCCATACCCTTTCCCTTTCGGGCTTAGATGGCACGTGCTCTGCTCTAGATGGACTCATCCGCCGGCAGCGATTACACATCAAGTGCAGGCATTACCTGGCCCGAAGCGGAGAGTGCAACAAGTGCAAGTGGTTGGCTCACTGCGCCGCCGACAGACCAAGCAGACCTCAACCAGTTTCAATTTCAATATAGCAGTTACAATTCGTAATTCGTTACAACCGAGCGCGACGTGGGACCAGTTGGGCAGAGCTGCTGCCTCCAAGCTCCAGCTCCAATCGCTGCTGTTACTGCTGCTGCTGTTGTTATTTTCGGCGGCGCAACTCAACCTGGCCGCGCCGCATGCGTGGATGATTAGTGAAGTCCGAGACATCGCGCCAATCGGACGTGCAAGAGAGATCCCAATCCCAATACCGATCTTCAGGCATCTCAGATCGCGAGACATCCTACGCAATGACACGCACTCTGGCCTTGGTCAGCCTTATACTGTTGAATGGCTTCCTCTCAGTCCTGGCCTGGAAGCCCATTGCTGTTAGTTCCAGCAGCGGCAGCACTGCCGCCTACAGCTTGAAGCAATCCCATCCGGGGGAAGCCAGCAGCAGTCACGAGATCTCCACCAGTTTTTCTCAGTTTAGCGGTGACAAAGAGGCCACCTCCGAGGTTGAGGATGAGCTCCTGCTGGCCCGTGCCGGCGGCACAGCAGCGGCAGCCCAACCCATCACATTCAGTGATCATGTGGACGATCAGTACGAATCCTATAGCTTAGAGGATATTGAGGCTACTCCAAAGGAGCCGCTGACCTTCACGCGAACACCGCTTTATGGCTCCAATCGATGCAGTGTCAAGAAGTTTGCCTTTAACCAAGATGGCGAGGTGGAGTACAACAATCCATTGCCGGAGTTGGAGCAGTTTACACTCTGCTTCTGGATGCGTTTTACCAATCACAGCGGCGACCATGTCCTCCTGACCTACGAGGGTAAGTAGGGGGTCACCAGTTGACTTGGGGGAAGGTGTTGTTTGCCTCTCACCGTGACTTGCTTTAGCGGCTTGACAATGGGCTCTAGATGAAGACTTACCTGGAGGGGGGAGACCTAAGCTTAGGCTGTTGCATAATTTGGCCAGCGACGGGCGTCGATCTCTTTTGATGGGCCTCTAGCCCAGCTTGGCTGCTGTTAACGCGAGACCTTCGCTCGGCGGGCAATGAAATTTGTGGGCCACGCTCTGGCGCTCGCACCTGTCTGTGACTGGGAAAGTGAAAGGAAGCCCCGCACTTCCTGATGCAAGCTCTAAGCACAAGCTCTAAGACGAAAGGCAGCTACTGAGTTTGATGGTCAATGATGAAAGGGTTGCTATAGCTCCTGACATAAGCGAGTGAATTCAAAAAATATCCCCTAAAGATATTAAAAACTGACAAAGAATTTAACTTTCCGCTTTAGTTTCGCTAAATGCTCAAAAACAGATGCTTAAACGGGCGAATAGCGGACGACTAAAGCGAATTCTCAGGATTATATCCGCTGATTAACTTTATTATAATTCATGAGTCTATATCGGACATCCGCAAAACTATCGTTTTTGTCTGCTGGGCTTAAAAATCTTTTGAATTCCAGAGTATCATCTTGGCAGAGTCTTCTGCTGCCATTTGAAAGCTTTTACTTTGTTTAGCTTCTTGTTTTCATTTTCTAAACAATTTTTTTTTATGTGCCCCATGACGCAGCCACTTGTTGGTTGTTGTTCAAGTTGTTGTTGTGTCGCTGCGGTCGCATTACATAAGCGATAATTTACCTGTTTCCAGTTGGATGTCGTCGTAGCCGTCGTCGTCGGCATTGTTGCTGGTGTCTCGGGTGAGCAGCTAAAGCTAAAGCTGAAGCTGGAGAGCTGGGAAGCCAAGGCGGCGGCTTTAGCATTTGACATAATTCCAAAGCCAAAGACTTAGCCTCAGCCTCAGCCTCAGCCTCAGTTTGAGCCTCAATTCAAATAGCGGCTATAGTCTGGCTTCCGCCTGCCTAGGAAATGATTTTCCGAGCCAGGCCAGGCGCTGATCAGTCAGGTGATTCATATTTAAATCGTATGCAGTGCTTCCAAGCTAAACAGCCTAACAGGATTTGAAAGCACTACCAGCTACAGCTACAGCTACAGCTCTCTCTTGTATAACCCAGCTTCCTGAATGGGTTGGAGTCTTTTGCCTTAGGAATTCCCAGTTTTAGGTTCTGTCACTGAGCTAGTTTCTTCGGGATTACGCTGGGATTTCATCATAATCAATACCATGTTTAGACTGAAAGCGAGTCTGAACCATCTATCCATCTTTTCACATCCACAGCTGGCAAGGAACCCCGCGAAATACAAATCTGGGTCGCCAATGCGCAGAATTCCAGTTTCCTTTCGATGGCCATAAAGGGGCAGCAAATGTTCAGGTGAGATTTCAGTGTTTGGGTGACTTTATTGGCGTCCAACCACAGCTAATTAGTGTCTTTTATTCGGCTTCGCTCTGGTGAAGATTGAACTATCCGCTGAAAATGCGACAGTGGCATCATATGTGCAGCTCTTGGAATGGCAAGACGGGCGAGTGGCAGGCCTGGCTAAAGGCGGAGCGCATAGGGCGTGGATTTCACAATTCGGTGAGTACAAGGAGGAGGAGAAGGTGGAGAAGGAGGAGGAGAAGTAGGAGGAGTAGGAGGAAAAGAAGGAGGAGCAGGAGGAGGAAGAGGAACAAAAAGGAGCTCCTCCCACTCTTTTCCAAAATTTTAATTAATTTCTTTTTTCACCCCAACACAGCTCGTGGGTCACAAGATACCCGCTAATGGCAAGCTTCGCTCTGGCGGTAATTCTGTCACCGGAGAGGTCAGCCATGGCCTGCACTTTGAGATGACTCTGGTCCAGGTCTATAGGGTGGCTCTCAGTGCGGGCAAGGCGCATCGCGATCATAAGCATCATCATGTCCATCACTTTGATCACGAGGGACTGGAGGTTTCCAGCACCACCAGAGCGCCGCCAACGGTAGGGAATAGCTAGAAACTCCTAACAAAGCCTCTTACTTTAACCTAATCTTCCTTAGATCAATCGACCCCAGCCCATGCACACTCTACTAGCCAGTGGTCAGATACCCACCCGAGTGCGCATCAACCTGGCAAATCCGCCACCAAGTGGAGCCCCACCAAGTGGAGCCCCTGCTGGTGGTGCTCCTGCTTCACCAGGCGATGCCATCACCATCAACACCAACTTTGTCAATGGCCAAATCAATGCCGGCTCTCGCCTGGTAGCCCAGCAGCTTCTAGGCCTGGCCCCATCTCAGGCTAATGCTAACCCTGGACGGAATCGCTTCCAAATGCTGAGCAACTCGGCCAATGTGCAGTTCATCGATGAAACCGAGACTCACATACAGTTCAAAAGGGAGGCAGACCACAAGAAACTAAAGAAGCGCGGCTTAGTCCTGCTGGAGGATGGCTCCGTGGTGGACGATGGCTCCGGAACTGGAACAACAGGAACCGCCAGTGAAATATACAATGGCCTGGCGGACTTTGGTGGACAGCAGTTCAAGCAGGATCTGACGCTCAAGATGAGCCTGGAGGAGGAGATCAGTACGCATGATCGGGAGCCCGCCGAGGAGGAGGTCAAAGCGGTGATGGGCATTTGTGGTAGCTGTCACCCAGAGCCCTTCCAGGGAGCCATTGTGTTTGCCTGGAAGGATGTCCAGGAGCATATGAATAATGCGCTCAAGGGGCTGACAGTGGGTCCCTGTGGTAACTTCTAGATGTACTCCAGTTTAGGTTTTCCTTCTCCTAATCCTAATCCTTATTTTTTTTTTTAACCCGCTTTAAGTCCTCCTCGTCTCCCTCTCTCTCTCTCTGCCTGTCCATGTGGGAGTCAATGCTTTTAATCCTTGACTCGCCCATGGACACAATTATCCTTAACCCCCAACGCGGTGATATTGAATAAAGGATTAATTTAAACCAAAAAAAAAAAAAAAAAACGAAAAAGAAAGTGAAAACTCACCTTGGACTTGTGTATGTGCTGGTGCTTGTAATCCGAATCAAACTCCGGCTCACTAAAATAGCTCTGATCCTGATCCCAGTTGGCTGCCGGCGCCTGGGCCTGCGGCAAGGGCTGCGGTATGCCCGGTCCACCTGGCAAAATCTGCGGTGGAGCCGCCACCTCTGTGGATTCAAACAAACGCAGCACCGATCGATCGCGTATTTCGCGTAAATGCGAACGCACATCCTCCAGCTCATAGAACATATCCTTGCTGGCATCGTGTATGTAGATCTTTACATTCGGCCCCTCCAGATAGGACATGGTCAGCTGGCGTGGAAATGAGCGCACAAATAGGGCGCGCACCGTATCAATCGAGGTGATCTCGTTGGGCAGCAAAGCGCGCTTCGTCTCCGAGCGGTACTGGAGGAAAACCAGACCCAGCGGACGCTCCAGCGTCTTGGAGGGTGTACGGACCACGGGGAGCGAGGAGCGCTGCTTGCCGCCCCTACGGAAACCAGTGCTGGCCGTTTCCACCTCGGACATGATCCCGGGATCGTCATCGAACAGGGGTCCCTGATTGACGGGTGCATAACCGCGCATGGGTTGGTTTTTCTTGTTCCTCTGCGCCCGCGTGCTCATCTGGGGGGCAAGGATTTGATTTCAGTTTAGGATTAGCAGTGGAAGCTAGATAAAGCTCACCTCCAGGTCCATGGCCCGCTGTTGCTGGGGCGCCATTTGGTGGGCATGCGGATGCTGGTGCTGGGAGCCACCGCCGTAGACCAACATGTCGCCGCCAAGCGTGTGCCTTCGCGGATCGTCGCGTCGCATGGCCCGGCGTCGTTCATCACCGCCTCCACCGCCACCACCACCACCTGCCGAGAGGTAGGAATTCCATCTGGTTAGAGATCTTAAGGCACTGCATGGCACTTACCCTGCTCATTTGCCGGCATTCTTCCCGATTTGTTTTCATTTTGCCAATCTTCTTCTGAAAAAAAAGGATACCTTTTAAAACCCTGGCCAGTGACTTCCAACTTCCCGCTAAGTAACGGTTCTTTAACTCTTGCTCTCCCTTTCTTTCTCCCTCTCTCTCCTTAGTACTTACCGCCATCGCGTCCCTTCCGCTTTTTCTTTGAAGAGGAGCTGCTGCTACAGGCGCCCTGGTTGGAGGAGGCGCTCTTGTCTTTGCTCTTCCAGCGTATTAACATCCTGCCGCTTGCTTTTCGGTCTGTGTCACCAGGAATAAGAAGAATATTTGTATATTAATTTTTTGTCAAAGGATTTGTTTACATTTGGCACCGGCAACAACACAAACACACACACACACACACAACCTTCAGTGTGTTTCGGATTCTGGTGTAGATAAACCTGCGAGCATTGACTACATTTTCCACATTTTGGGTGTGGTGGAATTTCTCTCAGTGTCCTGCCCGATGCAGAAGCATGCAACGGAACGAATGACAACGAAGCCAGGTGAAGGGAGTGCGCAAACTCCTGTATGCGGCGGCGGCAGGGAGAGAGGAGGCGCCGGACCGAGTTAGAGGCGTGACTGGTAGCTTGGAAAGAGCTGCATTGGTATTAAGCCCAGGGATCATTTTTGCCAAAGGAAACTCTTAAAAAACAAACAAATTGCGCTTTCCAATGGAAAGGAGAAAAGAGAGTAGAAAGTGAGGGAGAGGCAGCTACACAGGGTGATCCTTGCATGTACACTCACGCTTTTTGGCCTGTTGTACTCAAAACAGAGACGTGGAGAAGGGGGCCGTTTATATATGGTATACTTTTCAGGGTGCGGGGTGTGTGTGAGTGTGAGTGTGTGTGCGTGTGTGTTGTGTATACACACACTCTAAACGGCTTGCAATGCCATAATTGCGGGTCTCTAAAGGAATTTTAGATTAGATTTTGTAGGTGCGGTGTCCCCGTTTTACCGTTATCCCGACACACACACACACACATACACATACACAGACAGAAAACTAAGCGGGACTTTCCGGTAAGGGAACGCGGAACGTGGGCGTGGATGTGAATGTGAATGTGTATGCGAATGTGGCCACTGGAACACCCACCGCCGGCTGGGACTCTGGTAATTCTGGACACCGCACACTCTCTGCTCTACGCACTTGCCGATTTAAGAAGGTTCCACAATTAACGGGACACCACCATGGCTCATAGCTCTCGAGAAGCTCTCACCGTCAGCAGCCGTGGGCTTTTAATAATAATAAAAAAAGACCGTTCAATTGGCTTTGGATTTGGAAACTTTGGACACCACTCGCGACCACAATCTGCACTCAGCTCCAGCTTCTCCAGCTTCAGTCGTCCCTGCAGCAGCTCCGGCCAGGTCGTCGTCGTCGTCGCAGCAGTACGGCTGGAGAGCAGAAATATTTCTGGAATATCTACACCGGAAAGCGTTTCCGCCCTAACTCGAAGGCGAAGCCTGGCTCTGGCGCAGGCGCTTGAGGGCCATCAATCGAGTGTGCTCCCAGACCAGCAAAAGTGGTTTAGTGGCAACTCCTGATGGGGATTCCCCTGCCTCTAGCAGTGCCTATCGAATGGTGACAATCGATAGAGGGTTAACCTGCTCCTCTGATGCAAAGCATAAACATGCTGTTCCTGGGCAAAGGACGAGGACTGCGTCGCCTCAGCTTGATGCACTTTTCCGGCCAGTGGACCTTGTTGGAGAAGCAGGAGTTTGAGGCGGATATGCGGATCATCAAGGACTTTGTCAGCGAGCATGAGGAGCTGGGCCTGATCCAGGAAATAGAGCCACATCTCAAACGTTTGCCCTACGAGTCCAGCCATTGGGATGATGTGTGTGTCCACTCCTTAATAATATAAAGTAGAATAGTATCCTTTACCTTTGCAGGCCATCCATGGTTATCGGGAGTCGGAGCGGAGAGACTGGTCCTTGGCCAACCGCAGTGTTTTGGCTAGGATCTCTGGTAGCGCCTTCAAGGGGAAGGTAATGCCCCATGTTCACATTTTGGACTTGGCTGAGGAGGGCGTCATAAAGCCGCATGTGGACAGTGTTAGGGTAAGGCTCTAGGTTGGATTGGCTATATAATCTCTCAGAATTTCCATTTTCTTGCAGTTCTGTGGTGATACCATTGCGGGTCTTAGCCTGCTCAGCGACTGTGTCATGAGGTTGGTTAAGGTTTCCGCTAAGGAGTCTGAGCGCAGGGTAGCGGATCTGCTCCTGCCACGTCGCTCGCTGTATGTAATGAGCCAGGTGGCACGTTACCAGTTCACGCATGAGGTTCTGGCCGGAGATGAATCGTGGTTTGAAAATGATCGAGTGGTAAAAAGGCGACGCCTCTCAGTCATTTGTCGCAATGAGCCCTGAGGAGGGATCCTAAGAAGGATGTTATACAGCAAATAATACTGTAACACACATGATTTGTTGTTGCAAGCTCTTGGGTTCTGAGCCAGGGAAAATGAGGAAAATTCGATTTAAAGCGGCTGTGGAAAAACGCTGGGATTGCGAATAAGAGTTATGAAAAAGTAAGAATTGATAAATAACTTTCATTTTTAAACTCTTATTTGGGATCCCTGGTAAAAAAGTTATTCAAAATATTCATTCGAAACCCAAGGCCTGTACAAATATACATATTTATATATACAAGAGCAAGTTTATTCCAATATTGGTGATCAGTTTTGTTATATAAATGTTATACAGAGGAGGGTCTGCATCCTTGCTTAATCACTCTTAATACAAGACTTAAACTAACCTACTTGTACTCGTTATAAATATTGGGGTCTTTCTGGAATTTCATTTCGAAATTTCCATAACTCTCCACATTATTTTTGCTCCTATTCTCCAAATGCTCTCTCCTATATAAATTTTACAAATTTTTGTTTTGTTTTTGCAAAGGTGAAGCCTTTCTTTCTTTCTTTCTACTTTCTTTTTGTACGTTGCGTCTCGTTCCTTTTTAAAGCTTAAAATATGAGAAAGACAGAGACAGGAAGAGGTGGGATGATAGGTAAAGAAAAAAGAAGAGTGCGTAAGAGAGAGAGAGAAAGACAGAGAGAGCGAGAGAGAGAGGGAGGGAGAAAAGTATAAGCATAACTGGGAAACAGTGGGAGTGACTAAGCTTACTTCCATATTTGCACTAGGTAAAGTCTACTTGGGGGAATGTTTACATTATGGCCACCAGTCCACCAAGGTCTCAGCCAAGCTTTCGGCGTCGCGGCAATTGCAGGACAGGTAGAGGCACCGCTGCTACGGATGACGATGTTGCCTGTGCCGCCATCACCGGCAAAGCCAAAGCCACAGGCACCGTCCGACCACCGCCGCCATATTGCAGATGCTGGACCACCGACAATTGCGGCTGCTGCTGCTTGAGCAGCTTGGCGGCCGCATGGGCCTCCGCCGCGGCCACCTTGACCGGGTGAACCAGCTCGGACTTGAATCCTCCTCCTCCTCCGTTGCCGCTGGAACCACTGCTGCTGTTGGCCTGCGGACCGCTGCTGCTCTCGCAGTCATCGTCGTCTGAGATCAGTGATATGCTGAGGTCGCTGGACAGCTTCAGCGAGATGGGCGTGGGCGGCGATGGGGCCACCAGTGGAGCCACCTTGGCCCGCAAAGCCGGCGATAGCTTCTGCAGTTGCTCCGGCAGCAGATCATGCGAGTACTCCGGCACACCGCTGGAGGCCAGACCCTCTCGCAGCTTGCTCAGCGACAGCTCGTAGATGCGATTGGCAATGACCGTGTGGACGGTGGTTTCGTCCGGCAGGGTGGCTGTTATGCCACCGCCGACATCCACTTCCAGATAACCGCTCGTATCGCCCGCCGAGTGGCTGCTGCCTCCTTCTCCGTTAGCGGGCGGCTTGTAGTGATACGAGTGCCGCATCTGCCGGGCCTGGCAGTTGGCCGTGGTGGAGCTGCGCGGCACCAGCGATACGGTGACCTCCTCCACGGTATCCGAGAGCGTTAGCGGCGCCAGTGGCGGGGGTGAGCGCGATCGCATCGAGAGCAGACGGCCCGGCGGCAACTGGTGGTCATTGTTCTCATCATCGCTGGTTATCAGGATGCTCTCGGTCGGGTTTGGGAACGATGTTTGGGCCTGACGCCTTCCCAGTCTCGGTGGACGTCGCGTGGTCAGGGCGGGGGCAGGAATCAACAGCAGGCGGCTGTGGCCGGCGGACGGGCCAGCCGCCATCTGCTCGTTGTTGTCGTCGTCCGACAGCAGGTCAATGGTCACTTCCGCTGGCAGGGCAGCGGCTCCGCGACGTTGCCGCCGGCCATCAGTCTTGGTGGCAATCGCCTGGACACGCATCTGGGCCATGCAGACACGCTGGCGTTCGCGCAGGCGTTCCATCCAGCGGCAGCGGCGCCGCTTAAGCCGCCGGTTGTCGAACAGCCGGGGCGATATGTAGAATGGCTCGGAATGTCTCTGGCTCATGTCTGCGAAGGCAGGAAGGCAGGCGGGGGTCAGATGGTGTTTAGGATGGGGCTGCCTGCCTGCTTACCGATTGTGGGTGCTGCTGCTGCTCCTGCTCTTCCAGCCCTCCCCTTCCACTTCCAGTGGCAGCGAGGCGAGTACAGTTAGTTCCCGCGGCTGCAACTTGCATAATTGCGTGGCAAGCAGGGGGGCGGCGGCGGCGGCGCTGGTCTAGGCGCTGCGTTTCCCGCCGCAGGACATGTCCAGGATGCGAGCGGTGGCCTGGTTGTTAGGTTCTTTGATGCGCGACCAGCTGCTGTAGGTGCGCTTTTGTTGTATTTCTCGTTCTTGTTTTTCTTTTTTTTTTTCCCAACCGATTCTGTTTATTTTTTTGGTAGCGATGTCAGAAGTGCATCGATAGACAGGACACATCGATAGTGCGATAGCGATAGTCGATTATTAGTGAAGGGAACGGTGGTAAAAAACATGCAGAAACGGATACCTCTCGATATTATGAATGTTTATATTTATATTTAATTTAATTACTGTATCTGAATTGATTATATTTAATTATTTTGTAAGGGTATTTATTGGCTGTGATATTTATTTAGTTCTCTCTGCAAGGTGGGAGGTTAATTTTATTTATTTTTTTTAAATTTATTTCCACACATCGATAACACTTTTGCCTCGAATATCGGCCTTAGCTCTAGCCTTGGCGCGCAGTTTAAACCAGAATTTAATTCCAAACAAATAATAAATTTATATGTAAATGCATTTGCAATATTTTAATTCCTTTCCATTAATTTTAACCAAAATAAAATAAAATAAACATATAAAAACATATAAATAAATATAAATAAATATATAAAAACAAATAAATAACATAAAATAAATAAATAAAATAAAAAAACACTCAAGCTCACTTTTGGCGCCACCCACAATTTTGAGATGCACTCAATTGGCGCAGGCGCTCTGCCAGAAGTTGGTTTCCAGGAGCTTTCACTCATTAGGCCGCAGCTTTGATTACCCCGCATCCGGCGGCAAGGACTAGAAAGTCATCGGCTTCGAATGCAGGCGGTTGGCCGCGGAAGTTATTTAGTTAAAAAAATGATTTTGAACAGACTTCGTAGCGGGAATATACGCTAAATGCACTGGCAACCGATTAGGCAGCATAGTCGAACAAGCCGCTTAATTCATAATTCCAGTAGATCGTTAACTTTAAATGTTAATGCGCCTCTTTTATATACTCAACAAACAGGGAAATGCTTTACAAAAATAGTAAAAATTAATTAAAAGCAAATTTAGGCTAGAATAAATTTTTTAATATATAATATTTACTAATTTATCTATTATAATCTCAAAAACAGGGAAATGCTTTATATAAATTAATGAAAATGTAATTAAAAGCAAAACTTAGCTAGAATATTTTAAGAATATATTATTAATAATAATATAAAATTATTTTTAGTATAATTATTATTAGGATAATTTTTATATTATATTAAATATATAGATAATTTCTATATTATATTTAATATTTAGATAATTTTTATATTATTTTAAATATTTACCCTGAACTATTTTTCCCCTCTTTTAGTTTATTCAAGCTTAATTGCTTATAAATATCACAAATAATTAATTAACCAATTGTTTGGAAAACAACTAGTTTCTAATGCTTTAAGAGTTCCTGGAGGATCCCTATACCATAATCTCTTAGGTAGCTTTAAAACCCAAAGAAGCAGACCCCCAGGAGTCAGTCCAAAGTAAACTCCTTGCGGGGAAATGCGGGCCAAACGGGGCAGATCCGATTTCAGTAATTCACGCGAATGGCTCATTTCCCTAGCTAACGGAGGAGGAGGAGCAGCAGGAGCAGGAGAAGGAGCTGGTGGAACCAGTGGAGGAGCTGTTGCCCTTGTCGAAGGAGACCGCTTAGAGATAGGATGGGCTCTGGTAAGACAATAGACAGGAACCACAACAAAAATTATAGACTCGCTCTCATAGACTTGGCTCGACTGTAGCTGGCGCTTTGCTTTTGCCAGCCAGTGTGTCTCCTTGTCCTTGCCATGTCCTTTTCCTACCTCAGCTCAAGTTGGAGCTGCACCTGCACTTGGAGCAGCTCCTTTGACTCTGACTCTGACTCTGGCTGTGGCCATGTTTGTGTTTGTGTTTGTACTCGTGTGTTGTGTTTCTGGATTGCACTTTGGCCGTTTAAATCCACCGACAAAGGGTGCGGGGACGCAGCGACTATGGAGGAGCATTCAGAAGGCAGGCAGGCGCATCTTGGCGCACCACACGCAGCCGTAATCGACTCACTCCTGCTCTTGCTTCTGGTCCTACTTCTTCACCCCTCCCTCATCTTTTTCCTGCACTGCCTCTGTCTGCCGGCAAGCGTTTCCTGGCTCAGACAACGACGACCAGGAACTCCCATTACCTCCCAGTAACCCTCAGTACCTCCTAGTTTCTCCCAGTACCTCCCAATACCTCCCACTAACTCCCTTTACCCTCAAACTTCTTTCATCCTTTGCCTGTGCATTAAAATGAATTCCTTTTCCCAGGTCGGGCGCCGAAGTCGATTTGAATGAATGCACGTCCTTGGTGCTCATCCCGGTTCCCGGTTCGTGTGGGTGCCATGCCGCGCGCCTTCAAGTGTTTGCCCTTCTCCGGGACTCCAGCACAGCTCAGCTCAGGTGTTGAGTGGAGTCGAGAGTTGGCATTGTCTTCGTCCTGCCGCAGTTGTTTTGCTTTCGTAGAAGACATCCTTCCCTTGTTCTGGTCCCTTTTTCCTCTTGCCTCTCAACTCTTACTTCTTCTTTCCTACCTCATACCCTGTTCTTTTTCTTTTTTGTTCCCTTTTTTTTTATTGTGTTTTGGCATTACGCCAAATGTGTAAAGCCAACAAAATACCAAAAGATTGCACATTGCACCTGTCCTTGGAGCGGCGGCTGGCGCTTTGGTTTACTGCTCGTTGCTTCTTTGGAGCATCCTGTACCTCGCTGTTGTGCTCCCTGATGGCCAGCTCATCGATGATGATGATGATGCTGCAGCGGTTACTTTGATGATGTTTTTCGGGGGATACTCCGTCTCCGATAGATATACGTTTTCCCTAACGAAATTCATTAACTTATTAACTTGGCAAAGGCTTTTGTTAACCAGATCAAGGGGGTAAGAACACTTCTTACCAGGTTCTAAGCCTTCTTGAAGTAGCAGCAATAACAGAACACAGATCTATGGGCATTGTTATAACAATACATATATGTATAATTATTGAGCAGGCGGAAGAAAACATTCAGATCTAGCGGCTTTTCCTGTCCACACTCTCTAGCGATAGCTCCTCTTCACAGTTAAGACCCCTTCCCCCCCGAGGTCAGACTAGCGACCCATCAGCATTATTATGTATAATTATCGAGCACTGCCCCATGCTGGACATATGGCAACTACTGCTGGAGGACATCTGCTCTGCCTAAGTAGACGACGACTGGGCAAGGCACACGCACACACCTGAGCAGGTGGTGGGGAGGTCGACCCTGTATCGCTTTCGGCAGCCTCCTGCGACTCCTGCGGCGGCAACGGGAAACGGTAAGTAGAAATTTGCGTCAATAGGATTGTTAAAGAGGCTTAAGTTAAATGGGAAAACTTCCGAATCAATGAACCGCAAATTGCATGCGAAATGCCAAAACGAAAATGTCGCCGGCCTGACCAGCGAGTGTGTGTGGTGTGTGTGTGTGTGTCCTGCCTGCCTGCATGGGTGGGTGGTATGTATGTACTCGGACTCCAACTCGAGTTAACTGAAAACGTATTGAAGTCGCGACGCAAAAATGTATTTATACAGATCCTCTGGCATATGCGAGACTTAGAGTGTCCTCCTCTCCTTTTGACCACAGAGGACGTGAAGGCAGTGCAATATAAAGTATCCTTCGGCCACTTGCCAGCGCTTGTAAATTCATCCTTGCGTGCATCGAGTCTTGGGAGAGCCAGGAGATGGAGAAATATATGGCTGAATGGATGGATGGATGGATGGAAGGGTGAATGGAATGGAGTAAGTATTTCATAAATTCGGTTTGTTGTTTCGAGGCGAGGCTTAGCCTTCGTCCTTGTCCTGGCTGCAGGCAAGGACGAGGAGTAACCCCTCTCGTATATACGAATCCCAGTTAATGGCAATTTTATTTTCGCCCCGGCAACTTATCAGCAGATTCAATTTCGCGAGGAATTCGAGGACCTAGAGCGGTCTTCCCTGCGAGACTGGAGACTGAAGCTTCCTCCCACCCAAGGATCTTTCTCTCATAACTGTAGTTCCCCTTTGGCTAATCTCTGGCAGGATACGTGATTCCGTTCTGCGTGTGTGAAGACAGAGACACAGACAGAAGAGGGTAAGAGTGAGAGTGAGAGGCACTTGTCTGTGTATTATCCTTGGTAATGCATGCAAAGATGCTGCAAAGTAGCTTAATACTTTATGCTCGCAATGAAAAGCCTTTTTACGATCGCATTATGCTTGTACGTACTTATATTTCTGTAGTTATATCAGGGGAGGTCCTTGCTGGGGGAGGGGTGTGAGGTCTTTGCTGCCATCGCAACTTGTGCGGCCGTATCGCATTTTACAGCAGGGTGCATGTTAAATGTGCGACACCATGTCGTATGAGTGATATCTGCAGTACATAAACTCATAAACTATGCTGTAAATAAGTTTATTATCTTCCTTCGAATTTCCGCTTTTCCGGCAAATGCTTTAGGTTTAAATATTGGTCCAGCCAGTTCCTTTCTTTTTTCAGGGGGGAAAGTATTTACATGCGAGGGAAATATGCTCTACAGTTGGACTGCGGAGTTGGGTTTCCCGTTTCCCTTTTCCCTTTTCTTGTTTTTGCTTTGTTTGTAATTATTTTGCTGCCGCTACCGCTTCTAATTAATACAAATGGTTTGATACACAATAAAGATTTTTCAACTTGGCTCGTTACTGGCCACCTCTCCCCCAACTCCAACTTGGTGTCCTGGTTGTCCTCGCTCGTTGAGGAAAAAAGTTTTCCCATTTCGGAAAGTTTTTATTTTCTGCTGGCTGCTACTTCTGCTTGTGCTAGCTGCTTCTGCTTTCTGCTTTTGCTGGCCTGCAGTTGCACTAGCCACACACACTCCCTCTCTTGTCTTTTATCTCTTTTGTTTTTTGGGCTTTTGCTTTGGTCCTGCTCACCATCATCATCATCATCATCATTTGGCCGTCTCCTGCTTGGCTTTTGTTTTGTGCATCCTTCCAGAGGGTACTAGAAGCAATCTTGACCCACTGTACCATTACAAATGTATCCGACTTTTTATATCTGTCTCTTTTTTTTTTAACTTTAAAAGGTGAGAGATGATGTTAAAAAGCGTATAAGCCAAGAAAGAGTAAAAGAGAGAGAGAGAGAGAGAGAGAGAGAGAGAGAGAGAGAGAGAGAGAGAGAGAGAGAGAGA